CACACCCCAGATGTGGACACCCCAGATCGACTTTATTGCTGCGATCCGTTATTTCTTCTTCTAGGTCCTGCTGCCCGTTATTCCATTTAATAGGACAATGATTTTGCTCTGCGAAAAAGGGAACTGTTTTTTGTACTTCTAGAACCAAATTCAGGAACTGGGGTAACAAGACAATTGGTGAGGCCCATTCCAGCTCTTCTCTACACTTGTCAGCTCTCTAATGTGCTCAAATCCTCGTTACATAAGAATGGTCGTACTAGATCAGACCAAAGGTCCATCCAGCCCAGTATCCTGTCTGCCCACAGTGCCAAGGCCAGATGCTCCAGAGGGAGGTAACACAACGGCTGTGTCTACACTGGCCACTTATTCCGGAAAATCAGCCGCTTTTCCGGAATAACTTACCAGCTGTCTACACTGGTCCCTTGAATTTACGGAAAAGCAGTGACGATCTACTGTAAAATCATCAGTGCTTTTCCAGAAAAACTATGCTGCTCCCATTCGGGCAAAAGTCCTTTTCCGGAAAACTGTTCTGGAAAAGGGCCAGTGTAGACAGCTGAGATTTCTTTTCCACAAAAAAGCCCCGATCGCGAAAATGACGATCGGGGCTTTTTTGCAGAAAAGCACGTCTACATTGGCATGGACGCTTTTCCGGAAAAAGTGCTTTTCCGGAAAAGCATCCTGCCAATGTCGACGCGCTTTTTCCGGAAATACTTATAACGGAAAACTGTTCCATTTTAAGCATTTCCTGAAAATCATGCCAGTGTAGACGTAGCCCCCAGGTAATCCTCATGTGATCCCTCCCCTGTCACACATTTCCAGACAAACAGAGGCTAGCGACGCCATTCCTACCCATCCTGGCTAATAGCCATTGAGGGACCTTGTTTGGATCTTAAATAACAGAAGCGGAGTGACTTTTTTCCTAGCCTGCAGATCAATGGTCCCACGCATGGAGTCCAAGACCCTGAGATATTTGCAAAAGGCCTTGCAAGTAGCAAGAATCTACTTAAGGATCAGCAAACTAGTTGTGTATAGAGAAAATTACCCTGAAGCACCAGCTAAAGCCTGTGTTAAGCTTTGCTCTAATGCTGAAAATCAGTCAACCAGGTTTTATTACATTTTTCCCTACTCTTTTCCTCCCTCTGCTCTTCCTCATTCGGTTTGTAGGAGAACTTGCCCATAATCAGTTAAGAACACTCACTTGCCAGATCTCTGTGCCTCTCCCAGGAAGTTCACTTGCATGGGGTTAGGGCTTATGTGCTCTGCCAGGTAGTACGTGGCAAGCAGGTGTGATCAGAGCATTGTAGCTTGTCTGCCACTCACTAAGTACCACAAACTTACAGCAGTGGTGAGCAGCCTGGTGGCCAGGGACCCCGTGTGGCCATCGGGGTACTAAGTGTGGCCCAGGTAACATTTTATTTCCTGTTGCCCATGTGCAGGGTTGCCAGATTCCACTGATTTCCATCCTTGTTTTTTTCTCCACCCGTCTTACTAAAGTGACCTGCATATAAAACAAAGGCGTGTGCGGTGTGGTGTGGATTTTGCACAACATGAACTGTGAGCGCTGGGCACTCCCTCTGCACCCAATCGCAGCACTGCTGCAGTTCCATCGGCACCCCCCGCAAATACTAGGGACACAAGCACCATGAGCAACGCTGCCCTCTCCCAGGGAACTGCCTTGGTTAGGACAATTTTGCAGTCCACTGGGATAAAGGAGGGCCAGTCGTGCAGCCCGTTTTCTAGCTGAAGTTGCCCACCGCTGACCTGACCATGTGTGTATGCCCCTAAAATAAATATCAGAGGCTTTGTCTACACTGCAGGGTTTTTGCACAAGAAGCTTTTTGCGGAAAAGATCTTCTGCAAAAACCTTTTGCGCAAAAGCCCGTCCACACCTCAAAAGCCCATCACAAAACTGATGTGCTTTTGCACAAGAGAGCGTGCACGCTGCATGGACACGCTTGCGCAAGAAAGTGCTGATTGCCACTTACAGAATGGCCACCAGAGCACCCGGGCTTTTTTTTATTGACTCTTTTTGCACAAAAGCCCCGTTGCTCAAGAGCTCTTGTGCAAAACGGAGTCATGCCTCGTCGAAGGAGGTATACCTGCACCGCAAAAAGCCCTCTGTTCTGTCGATGGATTGTCGATTTTCTTGCGCAAAAACGCGCTTGAGGTGTGGACGCTTCGTGGGGTTTTGCGCAAAGCCCCTGTAGTGTAGACATAGCCAGACTGTTTCAACCACACTTCCCTTTTATCTGAGCCCCATCCATGGGTACAGCTTAGGGAGCTACAAGTGGAGGGGACTGATGGGTGTCAGAGGGGGGTTGGCTGTGAGATGGTACATAGAGACATATGCAAGCGCCTTGGTTCAAAAAGGGGGGCCGCACAGCCAAAGGGCGAGTTTCTAAGGGGACAACATCTTTCCACTGCACAGGACAAACAGCAGTGTGAGCCAAATAGCCTTGCCAAGGAGCATTTCTTAATGCAATGATGCAAATCTTAGCAGCGGTAGCTGTCATTTCTGTGCAGGGGTCACACAGGGAGTGCAAAGGGGCCCCTCCAATACACCATGGGCAGCAGAGGCAAGGGCCAGGCCAGCAGCCGGACCAGCCAGAGTCCATGGGCGCCTGCAGGGACTAGTAGGGGCGAGAGACAGGGGCCTGCAGCAGGGATCCGGCCCCTTCCGCATTCACCAGCAGCAGTGGGGAGGCAGAACAAGGCAGCCCCAGCTCCCTCTGCTCCCTCAGCTGCGTTGCTTGCGGGGGGCATAGGCAGGACCGTCCCCATACACATTGGTGGGAGCTGCCATGCTCCGCTTCCCCTGCTGCTGCTGAGTGCAGAGGGGGCCGGACCTTTGTTGCTGGCACTGGACCTGCTAGTCCCTGTATCAGTCAGTGGAGGGGGTTGAAGTGGGGAGCAAGAAAGAAGGGGGGTGGAGCAGGGGCAGGAAGAGGTGGGGCCAGGGGTCGAGGGGTAATCCCAGCCCTTCCCCAGGCTGGGAGAGGGGTGGTCCCGTGGCTGGTGGCTCCCGTGTCCTCCCCTCAGCAGTCACCCTGTTTCCACGACAGAGAATCCAGATATTCCCTTCAGACTGCTTGTGTACGTGGAGTAACCTTTTGACGCACACTTGGAGCGGAACACCAAAGAGCGGAATAAACCGCACCCAACACAATGGATGGTCAAAGGGAGCTGCAGTCTGTGTGTGGCTGGGGAGTGTCAATTTCAGTTTCTCATAAACAAACAAACAAACAAACAAAACGATTCCCCACCTGGAATTCCAAATGATCTCGGACGTGCTCGGTTTTCTTAATTTTACAGCATATATTATTTGGAGCGCTCTTCCACTCCTCTGCTGAACTCTTCACACTTCATTGAGCAGAAGGGGCTGGCGGGAAATCATGCTGCACTCCAAGAAGACATTCACATCACGTTGGTTTAGGTGGAAACAGTAAACTTGATTTATTGCAAAAAAAAATCTATTACATTTATTCCTTTATTACACAGGTTTAAAATATTTAAAAATACTTCTTATGGGCATTACACTTAAATTTTATGACATGTTTATTGGACTTTGAAGAAATGTACAATGTGTCATTTGACAGTATATTTTTTTTAAAAAAAGGGCCTTATGTACTAAAAACTTTTTTCCATAGGTTTTATTTTTCTTATCAACATTTGTTCAAGTCATATATATATTAAAGGGTAGGGGAAATAAAATTACACGGAAAGAAGGTCTGCAAATACAAGAAGTAATTTTATTGCAATATACCATAGCTAAGTGGTCGGGGGGGAATTGAAAGAGTTTAGAATTTCCGTACAGTTACAACACTTTGCAGTATTCAACAGAGGAATTTACGAAAAAGCAAAGGAACGAAATGAAATAAAAAAGCTTCCTTGGTAAGAATTCACAACAGAATCACATGACCTAGACTCAACCATGTGCATGCATGTATTGCTATATGGCTTTTCTATTGACGAGATGAATGTGCTACGATTTTGAGTCCCACTGGTTGAATAGGAATCTGAATGCTGAGCTATTATAGATATATAGGAGTGCACTGCCTTGCTGTTTTTTTCTATGTTACTTCCTTGGATAGCACCTTTTATTCCTAACTGGAAACAAAAAACAAGGATATGTTTACACTGGCTTTTACGGAATGAAACGCACTGCAACCCATAGCAATGTTGCAAATTCTTGTTTATTCCCCTCGCCCCACCAATGAGTGAAGGTCTCAGCATGCTTGGCTCACCTCCCTTTGATCAAATGTTGCTTTCCTGTGTTTGGGTCAAGGCTTCTCTTCACAGTAAATGTGATGTCATTTCCTGTACCATGACACACCTCCTTGGTTAAAACACACTGCACTATCCCAGGCCAGATGATAACCTGCAACGTTTCTCTTATAGCAGAGACCCAACTGAGAAAACAGCTGGGGAAAACCAATACGGCGGCAGGTTGCAAGCTGAATTGCCTAATGCGATGGGAAAAGCCTTCCTCGCAGCCACTGGGGAAGGACAAAGGAAATTGCACAGTCTCCCCTCTCTCTCTTGCTCACTGAGCTGCTATGAGGGCAATTACAGCTGAGGCAGCAAACTAGAAAGACAATTGGGCAGTTTCATCTTCACTTCAGTACATCGAACAAATACATAAATTAGCACCACAAATTCAGTGACTGAGAACAATCTGGCATAATTACCACCATATAAAGTGTAGGAATAGTCAAAAAACAAACCAAGTAAGCACATGTAATACTTTCTACTTGGGTCATAGAAGCTACCATAATACAATTAAAGAAAGGAAGCCGCTCTTCTACATAATGAATATGAGGGTAGCATGCATTTATATCAAAGACCGTAGCAAAAGTTTGCAGTCTGTGTTGGAAGTGGCTAAAGCAAAGAATGCTGGGAGATTGGCCAATGGCAGGGGATCACCAGTGTTGTATTAAAGTTAGCAAAATAGATAGCACCATAAAGAGAACTGTAAAAATAAAAAGCACCTTTTTTTTTTCTATTTTATTTTTAAGAGGGCGGGGAAAAAAGCGGATTTCCCTGCCATGTGCAATCTGCCATTTGGAATGGAATTAAAAAAGGATGGAAAAAAATAAGGTGAGTGTACAGAAAGCAAATCATTCAGGGCTCCTATTTTCCAAATCGGGGTTTTACAAATGATGCTGCTAGAAAGAGGCACTAAATAGACATTTAATTTTGCATCAAAAATTTTCCATCCACTTGTGTGACTTTTGAAATGATCTTGGAAATTCATTATTTGTGTGGAGGATGGGTGGGTGGTAGGGCTGGTGATTTCTAGTAATTTCGGCCCTGATCCTGCAAACACTTATGCATATGATGCTTAGTTCTGTTGATTACTGACATATTTAATGTGCTTTAAGTGTTGGCAAGTGGACAAAACAATGGAAGTTAGCTTAATAGCTTCCCTTTCTAGGTGTATTGTTTCTGTAGGATACGGGTGAGAGGGGTTATTCTTTTACTGCAAACAGGGTCACATGCATGTTTTGAAGCCAGCCACATTTAAAATAATATACAATACAAATATTTACTTACAAACATACAAAAATATAAGCACCTTTAATACATGGAAAGGAGATGCACAGAGTGACTTCACACTATCAAATTCACTGATCTGGGTTGTTAATTTTTGTGAAAATAATTAAATGAAGAAACTAAACATTCTACAAATGAGCATTTAAGTCTAATTTATGGGTTTGATCCAAAGCCCACCGAAATCAACAAAAAAGACTTTCATGGACCTCAGTGGGGACTGGATCAGGCCAAGAATTTTCACATGATTTCAAGGTCAAGATGAATACATAGTTTCAAGTTTTTCATCTAAAAAAAACAAACATCAACCAGCGCTTCTTGTAGTTTCATGGCAAGAAAGTCTTTGATCTGTTCTAATTTCTGTACATTCGAGTGGAGGAAGTTGAGTCCATCGGTGGCCGCGAGGAAGAGCATGCAGAAAAACGTACTGCGACCTTTGACCTGTGTGGAAGGTTGCTTTGCCGCACATGGTGTGTTTAGGTCATGTGATTCTAAGTCTGTCGTGGGAATGGTTCTCTCTCCCTTTGATTTGGATTCAGTAGGGGCGGGTGCAGTGGCACAGTTGAACTCAGGCAAAACAAGAAACAAACAAAAAAAATTAACCCATCACTGTCCAGTTTCAGAACGTGCATGTGACAACATTTTTTTTTTAAATGGCACAATGAGGTTACGAGGTTGCTCATTTGGAGACTAGTTTTCGGGTGGCTCTTAGCCCATGAAGCAAGCTGGTCCCACCTCGAATCCAAATTTCTGTGACGCTTCTCCGAAGTCATTGAACATGATGTCAACGATAGGTATTTGCTCCACTTTGGGTGTGCTGACCTCCAGGATAGTCTTTTGATAGCCTTTCTTTGTCTGAGAAGAGGGAAGGGGAACACAAATATGAACTCAGATGAGCGCATAATGCCATTCATTTTAAGTAAACCCTACTGTATGAACGAGACTCATGCTAAGCAATAGCCAGATTCAGTGGCTTAGGAACATGGAGATGACTGTTCTGGTTGAACCTCTAAAATCCAGGACTCTGGTCCAGCAACATCCATGGTCCTGCTGGCCAGATTCAGGGGCTGAGCTGGTGGTGGGAAGTACAGACCAAGCCAGTTGTGGGGAGTACAGCCCTGGCTGAACCAGAGGTAGCAGGGCCAGCAGCTTGGAGAGCTCCCCATACTGGTGCCCAGGATCCCTGGCCAGGGCCATCAAAGTGGGGAGCATAACCTCAGCGTGCAGCTCTGGCAGGGCTGGGAGCACAGGGGCCAGCAGTGAGGAGCAGGGGATGTCCCCTGGTCCAGCAAACTCCATGCCAGAGCAGGGAGGTCCCACCTGTACCAAATTCAGCCCAAATATAAGCAAGTGGAATTTCACTGAATAAACGCAACTGCACCTGCTTGCAGCAAGAATGCACTGGGCCCAGTGTCCAAACGCAATACATTAGCACAGTCACTCTGTGAGGTACAATGGTGCCTCCAATGGAAACAGGTATTTACTGACACGCTAGTCACATGCGCATTTGTACTAACCTATCAACAAGTCACACATTGTCATGACTGTGTCATATGATGATGTCACGGCTATAATGCCTATTATTGTCGACCATATTATACCTCTGACAGGTTGCGAAATACGAACAAACCAAGATATAAAATTTAAAAAGCCACAATCAACTCAAAAGGTAACTCTGAAATCTGGAATTTCCAATCGACATTTTTTTGAAACGTGTCCTTTTTTCCCAGACTTTGTGGTTCATGGGAAATATTTTTAAAAATAAATAGAATATACAATAATCTATGAAAATACAGAGGGCAAAATGTCACAAGAACCAGGAATTCCCATTTTTAACAGCTTTAGCTGGGATCTCTGCTGCCAGGCCAGAAGAAGCTGTGAAGGTTGCTTCGTCCAGCCCTGGAAAAACATAGAGGTTAGTATAGGAAGTGAGAAGAAATGGTTAGTGTAGGGCAGGGGTGGGCAAGAGGCTGTCAGCAGGCTGGATCCGGCCCGCCAAGACACTGGATCTGGCCTGCAGCCGCTTTGTCACCACCCTTAGGCAGAGAACAGCTCACACTTTAAAAAGCCAGCTGCTCTCTGCTCAGGACTGCTGGGGAGAGAGGAGGCTTCTCATGCTGTGCTGACCCCCCCAGCAAAATATCTCATTTCCCATTGGCAAATCTCTCAGTTTCCAGCCAATAGGAGCTGAGAATTTTTGCTGGGAGCAGAGGCAGTGTAGGAAGCCTTCTTCCTCCCCGTTCCCTATCTTCTCCTCATCCCCCTCATTCCCAGAGCAGAGCAACGTGGAGCAGCAAGCGCCCTGCCGCAGACAGTCTGCCTCGGGTTTCTGCAGATAAGCGCCTCCCAGCCAGAGCCCGCCTCTGGCGCCCCACCCCCTCTCTCCCCTCTGAGTACCTGCCCCAGGCTACCACCCAAACCGTCTGTACCCCTTTTCCCCTTTCTCTCAGGTCACAACTCCCTCCCAGACCCTGTACCCCCTCCTACATCCCTCTTACAGGCCAGAATCCTCCCCTGCACCCACACCCCCTCCCTGACCCTACACCCCATTCCCCTGCCTTAGGACACCACCAAAACCCCCTGCACCCCCTTTGCTCAGGCCAAAATCCTCTCCTGCACCTATACTCCCTACTGGACTGGGCATCCCAAGCCCCTGTCCCAGATCACAGCCCCCTCCTTCACCCAACCTCCCTCTCAGACCCCACACCTCCTCCTGCACTCCAGTCCCCTATCTCAAGTTCCCTTCTGCACCCAACCTCCATCTCAGATTGCACCCCCCACAGAAGTGCGGCCCTTGACCATGTGTCAAAATTTTGGAGTGGCCTCCCCATTAAAAATTATTGCCTACCCCTGGTGTAGGGGGATTCTGGGATACAGAGGACACAAGGTGAAGGAAGATGAAAAACAAAGTAGTGAACATTGATTTAGAGGCCAACATTTTAAAAAATAACTGATTCTGTGTGCCTCAGTTTTGGGGAGTTCCAACTAGGGCTCCCTGTAAGCTGGGCGCTTGGGCGGCCACCCAGGAGAGATTCATATGCTGCCCAGCTGATTAGCAGAGCATGGAACACATGTTTCTACTGGTGGTGCACATCCGCACATGCCGTGGAGTGCGTAACAAATTTTATTCTGGACATACACAAAAAAAATTAAGATGGAACATATGGTTCCAACTAAAGAAACCCTAAAGGGACTCGCTTTTTAGAAAGTACTGAGCTTCCTTGTTGGTCACTCCAAAATGGAGTCATTCAGTTTCAAAACTCTTGGCCAGGCTGTACAGATCCTTTGCAGTTGTGCAGTGGATTATTTTTACAGAGGATAAACCAGGCACCGTGTAACAGGAGGAGGAGTCAGGCTATTCATCAGCTACAAGACTCATTAACATAGTGACCCCTTACTCTGAAAATACACACAAACACACACACACTCTCTCAACTGTCCATGTCACACACAATTGCACGGAGGGTTCATTTCTGTTCAATAAAAAATGGGGAGAGGTTACGGGAATGAGAGCGCACTCGGGAGAAGCATACGCAGCTGCTCAGTACGTAGAAAGACTTTTACCCAGTTTTCAGCACTTCCAAGAGCAGGGACAGGAGACTAGTACAACTGAGGCAGCAGTATTGTTATGTTACCTCCCTGAGGATGCCCCTGGGTTGTTGAGCAAATGTGGGCAATTTCAAATGCAATTTATTAGTGTGACTATTATCCAAAGCGCCACAGCAAAAGACCACGTTTAAAGTCGGGTGGAATTCGCATGGCGATAGTGGCTACATCTAGACTGCAGGCTTCTTTCGGACGAAGCTTTTCCAGAAGAGATCTTCTGGGAAAACTTTTTTCGAAAGAGAGCGTCCACACAGGCAAAAGCACAACGAAAAAGCGATCTGCTTTTTCGAAAGATAGTGTCCGCATTGCGTGGACTTTAGCTCGCATGTTAGTTGTGATTACTGTGGACGGAGTGGCCACCAAAACACCGGTGCTTTTTCCCAGAAGCCTCTTCTTTCAAAAAAACCCCACACTCTTCCACATCCACACACGCCTTTTTCCTAAAGAGCTTTTTCAGAAAAAGGCTTCGTCCTCGTAGAAAGAGGTTTACTGCTGTCAGAAAAACCTCTCCGTTCCTTCGACTTTCTGTCGAAAGAACACAATAGCACTGTGGACGTAAGTGTCGTTTTTCCAGAAAACCTTTGCAGTGTAGACATATCTAGTGTCTTTTTATCATGCCTGTTGGCCAGATGGTTATTTCTGAAATATAATAATTATTACAGAAGCAGAAGTCCACCTCGGGCCTGCAAAGCTACACAAAGAAGTGAATTTATGGAAGGCCTTTTTTTTGCTCTACTGTAGCTTCTGATTTGTGTGTGTCAGAAAGAACGGCTATACCACAGCAAGCAAGCACGGGCTAGAAGATCAGTGCGAACATGGAATTCCTTTGGTGTTGGCTGTGGCAGTACAAATCAGGGCAGGAGTCTGCGTTAGATCAGGAAGGCCCTGGCAAAGCTATGGCAGTTAGATGGCCGTTCTTGTTCACTCGCGAGGCCCTGGTCCTCACAGTCTGGCCACAGCTGTGTTTCAGAACTTGGGAGATTAGTCGCAGTGGCCTGTGTCTGCAAGGCGCTGAGCGCCCTCCACTCCATGGATGCTGACATGGGTTGAGGGCGCCCAGCACGGTGCAGGGTGAAATTCACCCCTGAGCAGAAGATGAGCAGAAGCCCATGTGCCATGTAAAGCCTCACAGGCGCACAGACTTTGTCCTGGTTTCTTGCCTCTAGTGACCCAAGGACAGGCCGGCTCTGGCATGAGCAGCTGAATGGCTCAGATGGATGGATTTGAAAAGGGGTGGTGGATGGCAGAGGAAAAGTGGCATTTGAAGACAGCAAATTCACCAAAGGCAGACCAACAGGCTATGGCTACATTCCCCGGCGCAGGGCTATGGCACTACCTGCGCAACTCCCTGCCACAGTGAAAGGAGCAGACTGGGGGAAGACAGGGGGGAACGCTCGGAAGGCACCCTGCTGCTGGAGGCTTTCCCGGCAGCGAGGGGAAGCTCCAGCAGGATGGAGGCAATAGGTCCCTCCCTTACTGAAAAGAGCAGCATGGACACAGGAGGGATTGCTTGTGAGAGCAGGGAGCCGTGTAGAGTCCACGCTCTGTGGGTTCAAGTGTGCAGGGCACACTGCTCTCCTCACCTTAGCTCTGCCCCACTGACTACATTGCTGTTTATACCTGTGCTGGCTGGGCGTGCGGCGTCTGTACCCTGCATGCCTCTGTAAGTGTAGACGCACCTTTAGAGTGTAAGCTCTGTGGGGCAGGGGCCTTGTCCACCCAATCTGCCAGGAGCCCAGCGCACGGTAGAAGTAATAAATCACATGGTACAATAATCTTTGCTGTTTGGAAACTGAAAAAATGGGGCCCAGTGTCTGGCTGGAGTAAATAGGTATAGTCCCACTGAAGTCAGAGGAGCCTGGTGATTTACACTGGCTCAGGATCTTGCCCGTTCCGTTTTGGGTAGTTTCTCGTTTTCACGCTATTTTCAAGCACACTAGCATGGCACATTTTCATCCTAGAACTGGCTTTTAAAAGCCCATTTCTGGAGGGGTGGAGTGGTTCAACAACTAAGCCATAGGCCCAGGCCTCAGGAGAGCCAGGTTCTATTATTAGCTCTGCAACTGTCTTGCTTTGTGACCTTGGTCAAGACACGTTACCTCCCTGTACCTATTTCCCTTCCCACAATGTATCTAGTTCAGTTCTTTGGGGCTGAAACTGTTTCTTATTGTCTGTATCATGGCTAGCACAATAAGTCCCCATTCTGTAACGGCACTGATAGCCACCAGTTACAACCTCTTGTTGCTCCTGCTATTTATTCCTTTTTTTTTCTGTTTGTGACATCCAAACCAATTGCTCTAATAGCAGGTTGTATTACTGTGTCTGGAAACAACCAACACCACAGGCACATCAACTCTTAAGAGGGATTGTTTTCCTGCAAATCTGCTTGGCTAGAGAGAAAACAGGGGAGGAGAAATGCAGAGCATGTGGGACCCTCAAGCAAAATCATTTCTAACTGTAATGTTTTTCATCAGGCACATCAGCTTTTAAACGTGTGATGCGTGATCGTCCAGCTCTCTTGAGACCTAATACAGAAAGGTGAGATGGGGGTGATTTTTCTAAGGCACATTGTATTGTCAAGAATGCTTGAGAATAAACTTCCCCATGTGGCCTCGGCGTGTTTTCAGCGGTGGGATGAACACTCTCCATCTCTCTGCAGCAGCATTAAGGAAATTAGTGACTCGAACTGAATTTTCCCTCCTTGCTTCTACAGCAAAAACATTCCAGATCTAAATGGAATCCACCTTTAAACGTTTAAATTCTAGGAAGGGCTTTCTCCATTAGACATCTCTATATTTTCCTTTTCTCTTTTAGTCCTGTGGGGTTTGATCCTCCCCGTTGAGGAAGAAGGAGAGATTTTACATATTCCCCAACGTTAGCAAACTGGGGGTATGTCTACACTTCAGTCCTCTCTCTTGAGAGGAATGTAGATACACACACCCAAAACTGCAAATGAAGCGGGGATTTAAATATCCCGTGCTTCATTTGCATAATCGCGTTATGGCGCTATTGCGAAATAGCGCTATTTCGAGAGAAAAAACGGGGTTATTTCAAGATAAAACCCTTCCCTTGAAATAACCTTTACTCCTCAAAAAATGAGGAATAAGGGTTATCAACATAACCCCGTTTTTTCTCTCTCGAAATAGCGCTATTTCGAAATAGCACCATAACACAATTATGCAAATGAAGCATGGGATATTTAGATCCCCGCTTCATTTGCAATTTCGGGTGTCTGCATTTGCATTCCTCTCTCTCTTGAGAGAGGAATGAAGTGTAGACATACCCTGGGTCTCAGCATGAATTGGACTGGCAAGCATTACACTGCATTTTCAGTAAAGTCGCTGCAATTTTCAGAAGGGCTCAGTGCCCAGTTAGGTTACAAAATAAGTGGCACAAAGAGAGATACAGCGTGGTTAGCACATTGGACATTTGGCTCTTTATTTAGCTAAATTTAAAATTTAGGGCAATTTAAAAAGCTGGCCCTGAATTCTTGGAAGTCAGGCCCTTGGAACCTAAGTGGAGCCTGCAAAATATGTTCCAGGACATATCTCACAATGTTATGCAAACACGTGCATATAAAAAACTGCCGCATAGCTACATCTGAATCACAACTTAATTGCTGCATAGCTACATAGAATCACAACTTAATTTACTCATCTATGCAAATGTAGGCGAAGTGCAGGCTATTTTTGTGGGCAAAATTTAGGTGCCTACATTTACCTTTTTGTCTCTAGTGGACGTTTTGCCTCCACAGTTTGTCTCTATACAGTACTTAAATGGTCTCTATTAAAATAGCTTTGGAACACCGTATGATTTTTTTTTAACCCAATGCATAGTGCAGAGATATTATCTTACATGTATGGATGGAATATGGAGCTTGGTCCTGCTGTGAAGGCAGGGGACTGGACTTGATGACCTCTCGAGGTCCCTTCCACTTCTAATAGTCTCTGATTCTATGACACTCAGGCTATGTCTACACTACAAGGTTTTTGCGGAAAAACCTGCAGAGCATCCACACTTCAAGTGCGTTTTTGCACAAGGAAATGTACAGTAAATCAAAAGAAGAGAGGGGTTTTTGCGGTGTAGGTATTCCTCTTTCTACGAGGAATTGCTCCTTTTTGAGCAAGAGTTCTTGTGCAAAACGGCGTGTGTGGACGGGCAACAGGGAATTTTTGCGCAAAAAGAGTCAATGGAAAAAAGCACAGGTGCTCTGGTGACTATTCTGTGAATAGCAATCAGAGCTTTCTTTGGAGAGACAGCCCATGCAGTCTGGATGCTCTCTTGCACAAGAAATTTTTGAGGAAGATCTCTTCCGCAAAAAGTTTCTTCCACAAGAAGCCTGCAGTATAGACGTAGCCTCAGAGAAACTTGCGCCTGGCCACCCAGGGAGCCCATGATAGAGCGAGGAAATTAATCTAAGTCTCATACGTCCAACGTGATTGCCCCAACCATTAGACCCATCCTTCCTCCAGGATTAGGGCTTGCTTAAGATTGCCTTGGAGCCAGGGGAAAGGCTGCAAGCGGTGAGCAAATGGAACGCTCCCTTCCTAAGGCCTTTGTCCATTTCAAGAATGAAGCCATGCCAACAGAGGTGCCCAGTAACACGATCCTTTTAGGTCAATAGGCCGATCCAACATCACCCCTTTTGCATGCTTCAGATGTAATCGCAACATCACTCCCCACTCTGGGCAGCTGGGTCTGGTAGCACGAAGTGGGAAAACCAAACGCCAACCCTTCACACTCTGCCTTTCAGGGCAGATTTACAGAGCTCCCTCCGTGGTGGAATCCTACCGTTGTGCAATTCTAGACTATAATGATGTGTGTCCAAACTACTTAGGGACGACATGAGAAACTCCTGGGTAGCAGGCAGGCAAATCCCTTTTGCAGACGAGTGAACTGGGCCACTGAGAGGTCAAGGTGGAAATGTTCAGAAGTGGCTGGTAATTTTAAGCGCCTTACTTTTAGGCAGGCCTGCTGACAGGAGAGGGCAAAGGGGGAGTTGTCTTAGGGACCAGGGATTCAAAAGAGACCAGGAAACCCAGCTGCTAAAGCAGGAGCTGGAGCCTTTGGCCCTTTAAATCACCACTGGAACGACTTGCTGCATGTTCTGGGCAGCTCTCAGCACTGACTGAGTTTTAGCCGGGCGGTCATGCAGCAGTGAGGGCTGGCTGCCCCAGCCCCGCCCCTTCTGCCCAAGGCTCCGCCCATTCCAGGAGCACCGAGTCAGCCCCCTCCTGCCCCAGCTTGCCCAGGGGCTCAGCAAGTCTGTCAGCCTGTCTACTTTTTAGGTGCCTAACAAGAAACACTGAGGTCTCGGCAAAAGTAGTGAGAATTCCTGATCTTAGCTGGCCTCAGTGGAAAGTGACTTCTCTGCACCTTTAAAACATCAGGCCCCAAGTCGTTTGAGTTGGGAACCTAAAAACGGACGCACCCCAAATCAGGGGATGCTCCAAAAACTTCGAAGTGCCTTCCCCCAAAAGCATACACCACGTGGCAGAGCTAGGGAAGAGAAAGCCTGAGTCTTGGATAGCAGCCCCCGGGTCTAGCTACGAAGCCAGACGAACTGGGGTTTGTGCGTAAGCTCCTTTAATGCCTAACTCTGTCAGCCGGGATACTTACTGCACAGCCGTCTAGGACAGCCCTTATGTAGGGGTTGTTGTCGTACGACATCTCCTCGTCGTTGGATCCCAGGAAGCGGATGGCTTTATCGTAGCTGCCTGTGGTGGCATCATGCCATGCTACAGACTGGTAGCAATTGTAGGTGATGTTCTGGTTGGCGGAGGCACTCAGGAGCCTCAGGAACGTCATCTGCACCACTCCGATGGGATTGCCGTCCGAATCCACGTAGGAGAGCTGAGAGGAATGGAAAACAAAAGGAGGGGAAATACTAGGCAGTGATGGGAACCGGGTCTCCGGGCAACTCAGCCGACGCAGAATGACAGGCTCCATGGGAGAGTGAATCCCTTAATGGAAAAGACACCTACAGTTAGCCTGCCACCCTCCGCGCCATCTTTACCCACTCTCATCATTGCCCTGTCCACGGACATTGGCACTCCTGTATTTCACCCATCACAGGCCTACATGTGACAGCCAAGACAGTCTCCTGGCCAGGGTACGGGGGTTAAGACTTCATCTTACGCACACACCAAGCCATCTGCACGAGACCTTGCCTGACCAATGAAAAGGTCCAATTATAGTCTCCTGCTATGTTCTGACTTTCTATTAAGGACCATCTCCGTGGTTTTGTTGCCACCGCTTGGATACTAGCAATCCCTTGGATACTAGCAAGGGAATTTTCTTCCTCCCGCTGATTTTGGGCCGTCTGTGAATAATAATAAATAATAATAATAATAAACTAAGGCAAAGATAGGGCCTATGGCGAAGGGGCAATAAGTCTCAAGGACTTCTGTCCTGTTGGAAAAATACAGTGACAATGGGCGGGGCCCAGTGCTAAGCAAACTGGTCCCACAGAAGTCCCAGGGAAAGCTATTTTTGACGTCTTTGAGAGCAGAGGTAGGCCAACAAGAAGGCTCCCATCTTCTAAAGGAGTTTGCTAAAGGTGACACTGTAAACATGAATGGAGCATCTTTAGTTTTGCGTGTCGTATGTCTCGGATTGTCGAGACATCTTTCCACGTACTGGAGTATTTTGCCATTCATTTCCACCAGGAGCTGGTGTTTCCCCCATCCAGTACCTTTGACACCTGTCTCAAAAGGAGCCACACGTAGCTAGGAATGCATTCTCTTCCTCTCTATGCACGGGTTTATGGTATGTTTGCAGAGGTTGTGTGGGGGGATCCTTCTAAAGCAATGGTTCTCAAACTTTTTGGCCCACGGACCACCTTCCTCACTTTTACGTGACTCACAGGGGATGAGACCACCTGGATCAATGCCACGGACCACCAGTTGTATAATGGAAATGTACAGGGCTTGACAAACAATGAAATCTACTCGCCAATGGCGAGTAGATTACACCCCCGAAGAGCCGGCGCAGAGCGCAGAACCGCGTGGCTGGCGAGCGAGGCCCCCTGCCACTCAGCGAGCCCTGGAAATATACCATTAATTACATAATTACACCCGAACCGTTTTGGTAGTGCTGCAGCTAGGGAAATGGGTTTAATTTAAATAATTAAACTGATTACGAGCTTTAACTTTCTCATGTTAGTTTATCAAACTTCATTTTAAATAAAATAAAATAAAATATTTCAATGTTTTCTTTATTTATGGCAGGGGGGGGGGACTTTTTTTGTGTCAGGGGCCACTGACCTACAGAAAAATCAGCTGGGGACCTCACAAGTGAGAAGGAAAAAATCTCCTCCAAAAAACCCCCAACCCTCACTGATGTGGCCCCCCAACTGAGACACCTCATTTCACTGGCATTCCAGCCCCACGGGGATAGGGGAAAGGACAGGGAGAGCTGAGGTTCAGGGCTTCCTGTAGGCCAGCTTTACTTTTCTGGGGTTCCAGAGTTGGTGGATTTTATGGACCCCCCTTAGCCTCTGGGGTGAGGACAAAAATGAGGGGTTCAGTGTGCGAGGCAGGGCTGCCAGTGAGTGGGATAAGGATGGGGTACAGGACCTGGGAGGGAGGTGGGGTGCAGAAAAGGGGTGAGGGTGCAAGGTTTGGGTGGGAGGTAAGGTGCAGAAGCAGGCTGGGAGTAGGGTGTCTGGCCAGAAGAGAGGATGTCTGGCCAGGAGAGAGGGTACAAGAGCAGACTGGGGCAGGGAGTCTGGCCAGGAGGGAGGGTGCAGGAGCAGACTGGGGGTAGAGGGTCTGGCCAGGAGGGAGGGTGCAGGAGCAGACTGGGGGTAGAGGGTCTGGCCAGGAGGGAGGGTGCAGGAGCAGACTGGGGGTAGAGGGTCTGGCCAGGAGGGAGGGTGCAGGAGCAGACTGGGGGTAGAGGGTCTGGCCAGGAGGGAGGGTGCAGGAGCAGACTGGGGGTAGAGGGTCTGGCCAGGAGGGAGGGTGCAGGAGCAGACTGGGGGTAGAGGGTCTGGCCAGGAGGGAGGGTGCAGGAGCAGACTGGGGGTAGAGGGTCTGGCCAGGAGGGAGGGTGCAGGAGCAGACTGGGGGTAGAGGGTCTGGCCAGGAGGGAGGGTGCAGGAGCAGACTGGGGGTAGAGGGTCTGGCCAGGAGGGAGGGTGCAGGAGCAGACTGGGGGTAGAGGGTCTGGCCAGGAGGGAGGGTGCAGGAGCAGACTGGGGGTAGAGGGTCTGGCCAGGAGGGAGGGTGCAGGAGCAGACTGGGGGTAGAGGGTCTGGCCAGGAGGGAGGGTGCAGGAGCAGACTGGGGGTAGAGGGTCTGGTCAGGGGCAGGGAGCGCCTGGGGCTAAAGCTGGGGGACAGAGTGGCTGAGGGAGTTCAGGGAGATGGGGAGCAGGGTGCCCCTGGGATAAGGGCTGGAGTCCAAGAGACAGGGGGAGGGCTAGGAAAGCTGGGTGCAACACAGCAAAGCAGGGGTGGGCAGGCAGGTGACCCCAAGGTGTCCAGCCCTGCAGTGGATGGGGTCCCACAGGTGTCTAGTACATGAGGCTCTCGGCCCCTCTCCCCGGATTGAGTCCCCACGGGTGCAAAGCCCTGAAGGGCCCCAAGCCCCCACCTGCCTGCCCTGCGTGTGCAGGGTCCTCAGCCCCAGTGTCGCCTCCTCTCACTGCTGCTGAGCGCGGTGCAGCCCAACCTGCTGCCAGGGAAGGGGGAGGGCACCATGAGAGCTCGCTCTGCCCCTCCGGGCCCCGCGCAGCCCAACCTGCTGCCTGCCCCGTGGGACCAGCCGAGGGAGGCGCTGTTCTTACCGTGGCACCAGCACTCTTCCACGTGGCTCGTGTGGGGAGGGAAGGGGTGAGTTTGCTTTCTTCACCTCCCCACCTGCTGGCCGGGGCTGGTGCTGCAGCCTCGTGGCTTCACGCCAACCGTGAGGCTGCAGTGGCAGCACGGGCTGTCCACGTGCATGGAGGAAAAGCGGGGGTGAGCTCCCATTGCGTACCATCTGGGAGGCAGCCACGGACCACTAGTGGTTCGTGGACCGCACTTTGAGAACCACTGTTCTAAAAGGCCTCTCACGACACAGGGTGCTCAGGGCCCTGCCATCTGCTACTTTTAAGGGTGGGAGGATTTCAAAAATATTCAGCTTTCAGCTCTCATTTGCCCTGATGTTGAAAATCTAGGGAGGGCAGCTTAGCCTTTGAGGAAATGATGAACCCACTATGCATTTCAGCAGGGGCTCGTGGGACTGAACCTTTCCAGGGGCTCTTTTTCATGCTTGTGGCACTTTTACATGTCTCACAGGAGATGGGACTGAAACACCAGCAGCTGCCACATTGAAACCCGGTGAATTATTTGCTATTCGTGACAGCAGCATTTGTGCAGGAAAAGATCCGCAGCGGAAAGAAGCACAATGGGTAGCGCTGGTGAGGAACAGTGAGCAATAGGCAGAAAGATGGGTGTATGGGCGGAGGACAGCAGATGGAGGATCTCAGAAGGTGACAAGATTGGACAAGATGAGTGGGCAGGAGAGGGGGAAGCGAGGAATGGAATTTATTTGGGGAGGAAGCAGAGACGGAGGGAGCAGAAAAGGCACGGAAGGAGATACAGAACAACACTAGCAAGATACAGCAGGCCTAGAGAAGAGACCAGCAAAGCCACTGAACTCTGGTGGGGAATCACACCCAGTCCAGGATCCTCTGGCTTTGCAGTTTTTAAAACCTTTTACTGCAAGGGAGGAAATATACGACAATGCATTTACTTTTCCCCTTTGCAGCCTAATCCCCATCGAGGTATGAAAATCACCTCTGCAACCCTTGTAGGGTATGATATATACTTTTCCATAGACAGCTATGTGAAATCCTCTACCGCACTTTACAACTCAGATGCTTTGATGGCTCTGAAAGCAATACTGCCCTGGAAGGCTTTTCATCAGCAGCTGGGACCTCAGTCTGTAGCTATCAAAGGCCAGGTGACTGAGTAAATGCATAATATACACAGTTTCAATGTGTTTTTCAACTAATTATCCAGAGGCAGCATCTGCTGTCATGGCCAAGCCAAGAGAGCGGAGATTTACAAATGGGATCTACAGACAGTCGCTTCCTTTTGAAATAATCGGGAAAAAATCCAGACACGCAAACGGCGGTGTTCCTGGTGGTCTCGTCCAACTTCAAGGTACGGCGCATGCTGTAAACAGCGGGAGAGATTCACAGCCGGACAACAAAATCAGCAGTAGCGGGTAATAATAATAAACAACAGGAATAATAATATAAACACGCATATATACCAACCGGTTCTCACGTCAGGAGTCCACTGCGCATCTCCTCCTGAGAGTTAAACATGACTGAACAGGAGAAAGCCATGCATGCCAGAGGAGAAAACATGAGTGAGCCGCCAGGATATAGAAGGAGCTGAACGCAAGTGCTAACTACCCAGCATTGTCCAGAGGGCCACAAAGAGCTAGAGAGGCATCGCCCAATTGGCTGTGTTTGACCTTGCCTGCCGATATCCCTTGGAAGTAGGCAGAGATGCGTTTCTTTAGATGCTCCAGTCGGTCCAATCCCAAAGGCTTTCAACTGGAGCCAATGGGGCAAGTTATTTGAAAACAATTGTTCATGGCTTTGCACAGTCAGTCCCTCCTTTATATATTCATGTCAAGAACAGCTCAGGATGGTAACATACGACGACAGGCTTGGATAGGTATAAAGCATAGTTAGGTCTAATGGGAGTGCACACCCCGGAAGAAAAGATTTGTGATCCTTTTCCTAACTATATCCATCCCTGAGAAGTGATAGGAATTAATTTTGGGCTTGTCTGTATTTCACGGATATTCACCAGTGGGCACGAGAGAATGGGAAGGAAACATCACACCAGATGACTTCTCTGTTTATGTCCTTTTTAATTGGTGGGGATCTAGACAGTGTCCCAAAAGAAAAGCCAGCCTTTTAAAAACTCCCGTTCAGCTGCTTATGTATGTGGCCTGAGATTTCAGTGGCAATGAACACCAGCAGCTCCCATTCATAACCAAGGGGAAGCCTTTCCCTTTCTTTCAACAGACGTTTGCTGAAGCCCCCGGTGTGTCCAGGATGTGCATCAAGGAACTTGATCTATGGCAATCTAGCTATGGACGGTAACAAAAGCAGAACCGGACCCTTATAAGAGCCAACAAACGTATCTACATTTCAACCAATTTCCAAAGAGCACTCATCCCATCCTCCCGCACATGGCAGGCTTCTGGGCCATCTGTTTGACTGAAACTGGCTGTGTTCTTAAAGCCTTGTTTTTATGGGTCGCATGTTTAGTGCTGGAGTATTCCACTGACAAATATCTTCTAGGTGCTGGGGGCTCGTTTCAAAAGAAAACGTAGCAGAGAGACAGAGCAAGAAAACAGCAAAAGAGAAAGGGCTCCAAATAGCTTTGAAGTTCCTGGCACAAAATACAAACCCCAAATCCAAAATTTTAGACTGGTTATACATCCCTTCAAGCAGCGACGGGCAACCTAGGCTAGTGAGTGGGCCGCAGGAGTGACCCTCCTTCATCCCAGTGGGCTGCAAGGTTGTTGTAACCAAGATGGTCTCCCGGGATAGGGCAGTTTTGCTACCTGCGCTTGCGTCCCTAGAATTTGCGGCAGGTGTTGCCTGAACCGTAGCAGCGCTTTGATTGGATGCAGAAGGAGCGCCCGGGTCTTGGACACTGTTGTGTGCCATCAGCCCGCACCTCGCTGCACGGGCCCTGGCTTTAGGGAAGTGTCACTTTGGTGATACGGGTTGGAAAAAATCGACGTGGATGGAAACCAGCAGAATCTGCCTAGGCAACAGGGAACAAAGGCTCATGGGCCACGCATCAAGTCCCGATGGGCCACATGTGGCCCACGAGCCAAAGGTTGCCCACCACTGTCTTAAAGTGAGCGGCTAACACTCAACAGACTGAAAAAGGAACCAGTAGATCAGCTACCAATGTTAATTAGGGACGTATTTTTGAGGTAAAATCATGAGAAATTGCCCCCCTCCTCCACCTGAGCTGCTAAGAGGCTGACAGGCCGGCCTACTCTGACACATTCAGACTACACCCGGCTGCTCTGCAGGAACAGCTATGGAGCCATTGCTCTCTCGTGGACAGACTCAGCGTGTTCGTGGCAAGGAACGTGGCTTGGGAAAATAAGCGAGTGTCTTGGTTTACTGGTGGGGGGTTAAGGTGGAAGTTTGATGTTCCCTGCAGCAAAACTCGGCAGAGGAAGTTCCATGAGGCACACCCAGTCCGAGCAGGCAGGCTCTGGGTGGAGGAAGGAAGGAGGTGCTGAATATGCACAGTAGGTCAGCTCACCTCAGCAAGCGCCACTCAGTGTCGCTCTAACAAGGATATTAGTGGAGCTGGGCATGGATTTTTTTTCTTCCCCGGTTCCATTGATTTTGACCGTGCTCGAGACCTGCTTATTCACAAGCCCACGCAGGCCTGAGATTTGTTCTGGAGCGCTCTGTTGTTTGGAGGGCCCTGTTCATGCTTACCACTCCACAAGGAGACTTACATAGTGTGGGAGCCCTTGGATACTCTTCTGTGTTTCCCTAAAAGGGGGCGGTTTCCTCTTTCCAAGAGATGCAGCTATGGAACCATCCTCAATGCTCCTGGGGCCCGTATTGTAGAGCAGAGGTTCTCAAGCTTTGGCCAGGTGTTTCAGGTGGTCCACCAAAATAAACCAGAGAATAGGGCCAGCGCTGGACTTGCTGCTGTGGCCCGGTGCAGAAACCCAAATCCGGCTATACAGGGCTGAAGCATCTAAGCTCAGGGGAGCAGCCTGTGGCATGAGGCCATGGGCAGCTGTCCTGCTTGCTACCCCGCTAAAGCCAACCCTGGCTTTTAAGCCCCTGGTTATGCAGAAAAACAGCTGTGGCACTGGCAGGCCGAGCAATTTTTTTAGCATTTTGGGGGCCTAGGGAAGAAAACGGTCGAGACCCCCCGACTGTCCATGTTTGTTCATCAAATATCCGGGCTTTCCTCAATTCCCCATGGCCTTGGTTTCTCTGTTGGCATCATGCATTGCTTAACCGGCTGAGACGCTTCTTCCCTTTAAAGCGTTAACAGTGCTTAGGCCAAGTTCTAATTCCCACAGGCTTAGAGACCACACGCATGGTTTCAAAACCTTCTTCTGCGGTGGTTTTGCTCCTTTTCTCCCAGGGGAAATGGGACCCGGCTGCTAGGAGAGTGTTCTGAAGACAGATTCATGATGCCTTTGACTGATGGACCTGACTCCTGTGGGCTGAGGAACCCTACTACTCTATTAGGGTATGTCTAGACTAGCACCCTAGTTCGCACTAGGGTGGTTAATGTAGTCATACGGACTTGCAAATGAAGCCCGGGATTTGAATTTCCCGGGCTTCATTAGCATACTGCTGTGCGCCGCCATTTTTAAATGTCTGCTAGTGTGGACTCCGTGCCGCGCGGCTACACGCAGCATGGACTAGATAGTTCGGACTAGGAGTCTTTTTCCACGAGATGTAATGATAGTTCGGAAAAAGACTCCTAGTCCGAACTATCTAGTCCATGCTGCGTGTAGCCGCGCGGCACGGAGTCCACACTAGCAGACATTTAAAAATGGCGGCGCACAGCAGTATGCTAATGAAGCCCGGGAAATTCAAATCCCGGGCTTCATTTGCAAGTCCGTATGACTACATGAACCACCCTAGTGCGAACTAGGGTGCTAGTGTAGACATACCCTTATATACCTTAGGTGCCCCATTTCATAGAGTTGGGTTGAAACACTGAAAATAATTCACACTGGGAAACTGGAGAACACTGGAAAATTTCCTTGTATAAAACATTTCTGGCCAAGTCTCGTATTCTTGTAGCCCTTGATCACTGCAGTATGGAAGTGTTGATCTAGCTAGTAGGATCTGGTAGAACAGTGAAGACTGGTTCTGATTCAGAACAGTGGCCAATTCCAGGTGCTAGATTCGACGACCACACAAAAGTCGCTGCCCGCTCCTCTCAGAGGCTCTGATCCAGCAAAGTGCTTAAGCAAATGCCTAGTGTTAAGCACATGAGTTCACATACTCGGCACGTGCTTCCGGCCTTGCTGAATTGGGGCCTGCCCCCCGTTGCCTTCCCCGAAGGGGGTGATAGAAATGTGCCTCCAGTCTATTTTAGTCAGCGTTCCACCTTAATTTTGTTTTAAAGCGTGTCCTAGGATGGTTATTAGTCCAACATGCAGAGTGCAAACAGTTTGGCCATAACCAAAGCGGACGTGGCTGCTGTGCTCGGAGTCAGAGCGTAGGGCTGAGGTTAGCCACTTACCAAGGAACCCCGCTTGTACTGACTATACCATGTGGAAGGCTGTTCTTTGGGCCAACGGGCCAGTTTGCTCTGTAAAATACGAGACGGGTTAAAGACAAACGGAAAACGGTGGAGGGCCTCTTACCAGTTTACCGCGCTTGAATTCACTGAACCAGGAGCCTGGAGTTTCCTTGGGCCAGGAAGTAATTCTAGCCTAAATTGTGGACGGAAAAGTGGGAGAGAGAAAGAGAGAAACAAACAAAGAAAGAAAAAGTTACATTCAATTTGCACATTCTGGGTCTGTCGGTGTCTCACTGAAATGGTCCAACTTTTTTTAAACACAGACAGTTTCTAAAATTTTACACACTGGTAATAAAAACAGTCTGCTGCACCTTAGGGTCCCGACAGCTTCTAAATTACAATGTTCACGGCTTGACATTGGGGTGAGGACATACTACCATCGCCCACAGGTATAAACTGCCTTGAGAGCACCTTTCATTATGAAGAGGTCAATGAGCTGTAATTTCTAGATGTTGGCTGATGGAAAATTAGCAGCACATTTTGGAGGTGGATGGCAAAAGAGAGAGAAAGAAAGAAAGAAAAGTATTAGTGGTAAGTGATCCATTTATCTACATGGGGACTGTGGGGGGACCAGCACTGAGAACAGAGAAGGCTGATGTCAGTCCAATGTCAAATCCAGATGTGCTGGGGCCAGAAGAGACTAGACTAGGAGAATTAATAAAACACCAACATCTGTTTCTTGTGTTTGAGCACCCATAACATACTGTACACGGAATATGTAGTCCTTGGCAGGTAATGAACCATAATACGTGAGCTGTCTATAATGATCCAGATTATGACCTTGAGAAGGAGAGGAGTTGCCAGACTATTCTTCCCGGAGGACTGTTTACAGCTGTGAATGTGAATATTCTCTCTTTCCTGTCAGAACAAGGGATGTGTTTAATGGGGGAGGAGGGAGGGATAGCATCTCGTTTATATTCCCTCATTATTCCACAAGTTTCCTCACTATTGCTTTCACTCTCTCCAAGAGCAATGACTGAATGAGATGTAGGTGCTTTGGGATTATTCTTTCCTTCACAGGATGAAAACCATTAGCTGAAATGGTGTATTTTTGCCATGCTGCGGATGTACCAAGGAGTGACACATTTTAAAGGCTATGTAGCGGCCCATAACAAAATAACCACAAACACCTATGCAAGCAATAAATGTTAATGAGGTAGATCATCTCATTATTGCACATGGAAAATAATTAGCTGCACTCTCTTCTCATTTTTGCCAGCGTATGTGATGGAAGAATCAGTCCCACTGGGCGTACTGCAATAACATTATCTACTTGCAAAGGCAACATTGAAAGGATTTTAAAAACTACAAACACCACACTCAGATGTTTATCGTTTAATAATCTATGAGTGGAGGAGAACAGCGATGACAACAAAGAACCTATGTGAAATTCTGCACTGCACCTCGCTTGTTCCAGGCTGATGTTTATTTCTAGGGTTGAAATGATCTCAGCATGTTAATGGCTTGTATCAGGCTGCACCAGGAGTGATGAAACTTCCTTGCCTACACCCTAACCCAGCTGCAGCATGTGAAGACCTTCTTGGTGATACTGACAGGATCATTGAGAGCCACCTTGGAAGAGAGCCCATTCACTTAGCAGAGAAACTAAATTCAAAAGTAGGTCTTTACACCTGATGATCAGCTCCATAAAAAAAAGCGGATGAAGAAGGGGAAAAGAGGAGGACCTTACTGTAACTGAGACACACTTAGGGCATGTCTACACTACACAAAAGATTGATGCTCCTGCAGTCGATCTTCTGGGGTTCGATGTAGAGGTTGTAGGATAGACCCACTAGATTGAACTCAAAGGGCGCCCCCATTGGCGCGGTACTCCTGCTCCTCACGAGGAACAAGGGAAGCCGATGGGAGTGTTTGCTTCCGTCAACCTCCTGCTGTGTGGATGGGGATGTAAGACACGTTGACTCCTGCTACATCATTTATGTAGCAGGAGTTGTGGCTCTTACTTCAACCATCGCATGTAGCATAGACCAGGCCTTAGAAAACTTGTTATGGTCAACTCGATGTTACCGGTGTTAGTCCTGTTTGAGTTACTACTGGGGGAACTGTGAGGACGTGAGACCATCACTGTACATTAACTAAACTGATTCAAACCCAGCCTGAATACTAACTGAATGTCATGAACTCTCCTGATCCTAGGTGGGGTAGTTGGGAATACCCAAACACCCCACATTAATAACAGGAGAAATGACAGCGGATCATCATTTCTCCCGCTGTGTCAGAAGACTTGGTCAAGGTAGTAGAGGAACCAGCAGTGCTGAGGGACAAAACCATCAAAGTAGCAGCCACTACTGCATTGGGGATAAAAAGAGTAGATTAAATAAACTTCATGGAGAACTACAGTAGAGACAGTGATGGAGAAGTTTGCCTTTGTAAAGCAATGCCAAAAAAAAAAAAGTATCAGCATTCATCATGCTTGAGAGATCATCAAAACCATGTCCTAAAACACACTGTATAACCTGTGTACACATTCAATGAAATGCTCTCACTAAACACATTCCAAAACCAGTCCTGAATCTGAGCTTACCCAAACGCATTGGATCTTTTTGACTTTCCATTGTTCAGTTCACCTAATCACAGTGATGGATCGTGAATATGCACAATAGCAAACACTCCATTATCATCCTCAGAGGAAAAAAATATACAGTTTCTGGGAACTTACTCCTTCCGATTTCTTATCAGGGAAGATACAAGTCTCTCCACCAGCTGTGAAGTTACAGTAAACTTTGAAGGAGTCCCTCGAACAGCCTTGGTTAGGATCAACCCAGTATTCACCTGGACGTTGGAGGAAAGGGGAGTAAGTAAGAATGCATCAGAACCTCCACGACTTCCTCCACGCCAAACCCACCCATTTCCATCCCAGGGATAAGATTGTATTATATGCATGTGGACATCCTAAGCATGTTTCTTTCTGTATATTAATGAATATAACAAAGCTTCATTGTCAACACACAAAGTGCAGTATGTGGAACGGTGCATACATTGATACAAATTCAGAACCGGAACACTGCTGTGGTGATCCTGCTGCAGCCTTGTATACACTGGGGCAATTTCCAAATAAACATTTTATTAATTCCAACCCCTGTTAGGGGCTGTTGGAGTGAGTGGCAGGGGCCGGCGAATGTGGAACGGTGCATACATTGATACAAATTCAGAACCGGAACACTGCTGTGGTGATCCTGCTGCAGCCTTGTATACACTGGGGCAATTTCCAAATAAACATTTTATTAATTCCAACCCCTGTTAGGGGCTGTTGGAGTGAGTGGCAGCCACAGCGTAGACAAGGTTAGAGGGACCACACGCAGCATCATTCAGTGTGGCGCCAAACTATCTTTACTATAAATCCAAACTGTAACTTCATCCTTGACAGGTTGGATTTATAGTAGAGATGGTTTGATATTTTCCATCAAAGTGGTTTTTCACTGGAAAAATTGGGGTCATTTCACAAAAAGGATATCTACTTCCTGTGGAAAATGTCAATGCTTTATTGAAAAATGGAATGCCTGAAATCCCCCAGCCCAATTTTTGGCTCCAAACTGAATGGTGCTGCAATGCCTCATAGGAGTTGCAGTTTGAGTACTTTCTGCTCCGATTCTCTTCTACAGGCTAGACTCCCTGGCTTAACTACACCTTCCAGGGTGCAACAGGATGAGGGACTCTTGAGATGAGCGCCTACCCCTCATGTTTGCAGGAAAATTCAAATCTCGTTTTCCTTCCAGCCATAAGCTGTATTGACAGGCTGGTGTGGGTTTAAGAATTCTGCAGCTGGGCTCTCTCTCTGCATTGCCTTGGTTCTCCTCCCCCTCCCCACCACATCACCGCCCCGAGACCCTACCATCTGGGAAGTCAGGGTGGCACAGCTGCAAGTCCTTGCAGGTACGTGCTGGGTTATGCTGAGTGCCCAGTGGGTGCTTCATTTGCTCGATTTCCAGTTTCAAAGAGTTTAAGGAGCCGAAGATCTCCTCCATGCCGTCCGCGTAATCCATGTAGTTGTCGGTGTTCCCCTCATCAACCAGTTGGCTCGCATCAATGTTCCGCCTGGTCCTCTTCGAGGACTGCATAGGTAGGGGCTGGATGACTTCCCCAGGAGGACCCTTGGCAGGAGGAAAGAACTCGCCATGTTAGCATCACAGGGAAAATGTGACAGAAGCGGAAGAGAAAGCCATAGGAATGATCATGCTGCTCTTGCAACAGGAAGCTTCACCAGCATAGGACAGACACACGGAAGGTCTCAAAGATCCAATGTGAACGTAAGAACGGCCACACTGGGTCAGACCAAAGGCCCATCTAGCCCAGTGTCCTGTCTTCCAATAGTGGCCAATGCCAAGTGCCCCAGAGGGAATCCAACAGAACAGGGAATCCTCAAGTGTTCCATGCCCTGTCACCCATTCCTAGCTTCTGACAAACAGAGACAAACCCTCTCTGCCCATCCTGGCTAATATTTATTGATGGACCTAACCTCCATGAATGTATCTAGCTCTTTTTTGAACCCTGTTATAATCTTGGACTTCATAACCTCCTCTGGCAAGGAGTTCCACAGATTCTAATGAAAGTTCTCAGTCGCCATACATGGCTCAGGCATTCAACCTGTGAGGTAGTAGAGAGTCTGGGCAAGGAGTGCAGACTGCTGGGAAAGTCTTTTGCTGGTAACGATATCCACCCTGGTTGCAAAGTCTTCCAAGGAAGTTGCTCCACCTTTAGGCTTTGGGTTGAACCAAAGCCTCTCTCCTGTTTTCATTCAACCTTCTTTCCTCAGCTCCCCCATCTAGTATTGCCAAGGCACCCATCTCCTTGGCATGGACCCACTGGACGCTGCATCTTTAGCAAAAGCTCTAGGGGTTCTCAGAGGTATGTCACCCACTAATTCTAGCTCTCATTTGACACTACACTTCACCACAATGGGTTATACTTACAGGAGGTCCTGGTGGGCCTGGATGACCAGTTTCCCCTTTTGGACCTGTTGGACCCTGAGTGCAAGAACCAGAAAGAAGTTTGAGTGTCTCACTCAATAAAGACCAGCCACCATACATTTCCCATGCAAATCCCCTTCTGTTAAAGGAGCTCTCCGCCAACCTCCTGCTCCACCAAGCACACCTGGTTCTCACTAGGGCTTGTGAAAATATTTTTGGGTGAAAACCAGATTTTTAACCTTTTGCAGAACCTTTTTCATTTGGGCAGAATTTTCAGATATTTTGCCTACAAAACTCCAGAAGCTGTTTCGGTGCAAGTTTTTGGCAAAATGTTCATATTTTAGTTAGGATTTCTGAGAAAATTTTGTTTTGTTGTTTGATTTCAAAATATGAACATTTTAAACCAAAAGAGTTTTCAGAATTGGAAACAGAAATGTTTGGTGTTTATTTGCATAGTGAAAGACTGAGTTTTGTGTATAAAAACATACTGGTAAACATGTGGGTTTTTTTTTAAGTAACGACATTGACAGTTCCAACTTCACGAAGGAAGAAACAATGACATTAAACTAGTTTAACTGCATCTTTTCCACCCATTTCTTCATTCTGTGTTACAATCTGAAATCTACGACTTTTCTATTTTTCTGTCCCTTTCTACCAGTCCTTTAAGGTCTCCATCGCTACAGCAGTAGTTTTTCTTCTGTCTTTTCCCCACTGTTTTGATATTTCTGATCTTCTCAACCATGTGACAGAAAGTACAATGGGCTTAAAAGAAACATTTTCACTTATCATTGTTTTCATTTACAGCATGAAAGGACCGAGTTTGCTAAAGTAATCCTTAGCTAATTGCCTTGAGATGATCTATAATGGTGAAAGTATATTATGCACCTAATAAAAGTTCCTCAGCATCTTAGTTTTGTATTGTCTATACTTACTGATGATCCTTTAGCACCTTTTGGACCAGGGGGACCCTGAACAGAGGAAAGGGAAAATATATCATTAGCACTGTGTTTGTGGGGGGGAAGTGAAATCATTTAATAGTCATTTGGTTTTCTCAATGAATTCCCTTCAGCCCCATTTGTGTCCCTGCTTTCATTTTCTGCTGACATTTGAACAGTTAGAATTTACCAAAAAAACATTCCCTGAAGAAATGCTTGCACCATCGCTCCCAGAAATGTGATTTTTTAGGTGGCACACCCAAGAGTTTGTGTCGGCCATGCCTATGCAACCCACTCGCATGCTCATCCAATCAAGGGACAGAAACCCACCCTATGATATATTAAAGCCATTATAACTGAACATCCCATACTGAAACTTTAAATAAACAATGCTGATCAGCATAGAGTGTACAAACTTCAAAAATATATTCACCAAGTTAAGGGAAATACATAATACAACGATGGCTTGTGGATACTCCACAGGCAGAAAAAGGAGTGAATTGATTATTTACCATGAGGGGTTTGGATCATACCATTCATTTATTTCTTTTTTATGCCATCAAACCTCTATGCCAGGGATGGGGAATCTAAGTCCTGGGGGCCGGATAAGGCCCTGGCTTCCCTGGATCCGGACTCCAAGGCTCAGGACTCCCCCCAGAATTGGGGGCCCATGCTGGTGCTCCAGGATGCCCTCTTATCCCCCCACCATGGGGTCAGAGCATGCAAATTCTACTAGATGGGGCCTGCTTGGCTCTGGTATGGTATGTGAGGGGAATGAGGGGAGTGTCTTTCTCCTCAGTCGGGGGTCATGTCAGTGAGGGTTTGTTTGGGTTTTTTTTCGTTGTCACTTGTGTGCCCCCCCGACTGATTTTTCTGTGGGTCAGCAGCCCCCAACCCAAAAAAAGGTCCCCCACTCCTGCTCTACACTCAACCCTCAGTCAGAACATTCATTGTGCTCAGTGACTCTCATCTCTTTCCTTCCCCCGCTGCTTGTTTCCTTAGCCTCTTAATTTGAACGTTCTTCATGGGCTAGTCCGGATAATCCTAATTTCTGTTGGTGAGTATTTACATCTAAGGGCAATGCCACTGCAATCAATAGGCCCACTCAGAGAGAATCCTCTGAACTGTCATTCATGCTTAAATTCGACACTTTACACCTGAGTTTGAATAAAGACTCTAATTATCTTACCCATTACAAAGATAGCTTCCCCAATTATCACCTCTAATATCATTAACTCACAGACATTTACCTCCCCCCCATCCCGCTTCTGTTCTGAAATTTGATTTGTCCTTTTCATATGTGTTCATTTTTTTTTAATTGTATCCTTTGGTATATATGGTTGTGACAATTTTCTTCCACTATTTGATCTGAGGAAGTGGGTCTGGCCCACGAAAGCTCATCACCTACTAAACCATCTTGTTAGTCTTTAAAGTGCTACACAGTCCTGTTTTTTGTTTCAGGGAGAAAGAGTAAGTAAAGATTGCTTTATCTAGCCCAGTGTTTCTCAAACTTTTTTTATAAAGTATCCCTTTAAAAAAATAAAATGTTAAGTAACCCCAGTATCTCCAGTTTTCAGACATGCATTTTTTCTACCACTGCAACAAATTTGTATCAACAACTTAATCATAGCCAGGTGGGCGATGACATTTTTGGGTGTAAAAAGTACAAAAATAATAAAGCGCTGTAAAACTTTAAACAAAAATTCAATTTTCTCCAAATTTCAGTTGTGTTGATATACCTGCCAGACTTTTCTCGAGTACCCCTAAGGGGTACCACCGGCTGAGAAACACTGATCTAGCCTACTGGAAATACAAAGACAATGGCTGGTTTAAGACAAAACAACATGTGGGTGATATTTATCTTTTCCCTGAAATGATACACTATTCTTGAACAGATGCTTGGCATAACATATCAATGAACCTAAAGCTGGTTCGATGGCGCTGAAAGATTTTATTAATCTAAACCGGTGAACATCCAGGATCTTCCCAACAGTGCTGTGCTCAGTACTGAACACTAGGAATGATCTGGAAACAACAACTCATCACTTCAAAGTGCTTCACACATATTAATTAAGATGTACCAGACTCCAGGGAGAAATGCATCACACGATTATCCTGACTTTATGAAAGCCAAGGTAAAAAGCATTTAAGAGACTCATTAAAGGTCACACAATGCATCAATGCAGAGCCGGAAATAAACCCGAGATTACAGGTTGAACCTCCAGTCCGGCACTCTCTGGTCCAGTAACATCTGTGGTCCGGCATGATGTTAGTTAGCCAGATGTCCATTTATCATGGATGTGACCAAGTTTCCCATGGTCCCATAAATTTTGTTTACAGCCAGCAGTCCTGGCTCTGTGTTCTGTGCTGTTATTTAGCTCTAATTGACCCATCAATGTCTTCTAAGAGCCCAGCTAGTGGTGGAAGTGTTGGTCATGCTGCTAGACAATATTGGCCTCCCCTGGTTCGACAAATTCTCTGGTGTGGCACTGGTCAGGTCCCAAGGGTTCTGGACTAGAAAGGTTCATCCTATATTTGACTTGCAGGTCTGTGTTTTTACTGCCTGACCAGATAGATTTTTTTATTTCAGATACATACCGGTAATCCTGGTGGGCCTGGAGGTCCAATGGGACCAGAAGGACCATTGATACCCTAAAAAGTAAAGGCAAAAGAATGTTTATTTCAATGTATTCATGTTGGTCATCATCTATGTACCATGAGCTCAGATGTCAAATTTTGGTGCTCAGTGACTGATGACTGAGCATGGAATAAAGCTCCCTTCCTTCAGGCACATCCGTACAGGTCTGAGTGTCCACATACCGAGATCAGCGTACCACCCTGAGGCTTGACTCTCCACAGCAGCGGTTCCCAACTACTGGGCTGTAGCCCATTGCCAAGCTCTGGCTCATTCGCTGCCTGGCCATGGCGGCTCTGGGGCCAAAGAGCCGTGCAGCTGGTGGCAGGAGGAGAGAGCGCGTGAGCCTTCAATAGCCACTCCCCCTGCCCGCGTGGCCGATTTTGCTGCTGGCAGCAGCAACAGGAGATGGAGCAGGAAGTGCCTCCCTTCATTCCATCCAGGTAAGATGGCAGCCCAATTGGGGCTCCGCACTCTTCCTCCCCCACCTCTACTTCTATCCATGGGGGTGAGCACAGGGAGGGAGGGAGCAAAGAGGTGATGGGTGAGGTTAAAGGGCATGGGGTGGGGTCAAAGGGTTTTAGGCACTGGGGAGCAAGGGGCTGGGTTGGGGCCAGGCAGACAGATATCATCTTATTTGCATATTTGCTTATTCATTATTTGCACAATGAATATGCAAATATGTACATTTGATGTTACTGCTCCACCAAAAGTTTGTGAATGGGTTTGCCTGTCCCCCATGTAAAAAAAGTTGGAAACCACAGATTGAGAAGAGCTACCTCATTTCCTAGTCTCCCTTGTTTCCATTAGAGATAGGCCCAAGTTACCCACTTTCCTGACCTTTTAGAGCACGGGGATTCAGCGTCTCTTTGGAAGGACACATCCAACTTTGGATCTGAATCAGAACTTTCCTTAAGTTGACCAACTTCTAGTTGATGACTATCTCTAGCTTCTATTGGTACAGCGTGGTACATTTGTGTAGGAAATACCACTGAAGTGTTAGCAAAAGCACCCTGTGTCATACTGAGATGATGTTTCTGACCAGAGAAAGCCAGCGCTGCTATTACGGCACCAAAGGAACAAGGTTTTACTCCCTTATGACCAGTATGAAGACTGAGCATCACTTCCGAGGCACATTTAATAAAGGTCTCACCAAATGTCTCCAAAGTGCCCCTAAAAACACCTACCTGTTCTCCTTTTGGTCCGGAAGAACCCTGGGGACCTGGGAGACCTCTGTCGCCCTTTTCTCCTTGCTCACCAGGGGGCCCAATGAGACCAATTAAACCTGGATGACCCTAGAGAAAATAAATAGCAGAAGTGCATTAAGATCAGCTGTCTCATACTCTGGAAGGTGTTGAGCACCCGACACTCCTACAGAAGAGATATCTCTAAAAGCACGTAACTAAACAGGTGGGAGGAAATGTTTGCACTTATTGGGAATCCGGGGATGGAAAGGTGCAAAGTGCATGTAGCTGAGCATGAAAAGCGGCCAGAAATGCCCACCATCCCTAGTGTAATGAAAAACACCAGTTTTTGCCAAAGGAAATGAAGTCAGTGTGATAGTAGAAGTGGCGTTGCTGTGCTCCTGATTCTGTTCTTTTCATGCCTTGGCATAGATTATGTTAATTTCTACAAAATAAAGTTGAGAACCATTAGCTCAAATATGCCCTGTGTCTACCAAACTACTGCCTTTTTCTTTGCCTTTGCTAACTTGCACACAACACACAGCATGATAACTAGAGATTGCATAGGGACATAAGCCTAACAGAATGGATCCGTTTAGTTTCCTGCAGAATGTATCAATGTCTCGTAATTCCCAGGAAAGTGCAAAACATTAGCCCTGGATTCTAATGTGGAATTTTATACACTGAACTTTGAGGAGAAATTTCTTCCTGCATCACTAACATTTCTTCCTGGCCAGTGAATCCGTATGGTAATTAAATCAACATATGTACCCCCAAAGAAGATTCATAACTGAAGGCTTTGTCATGACCAACATCTCTTGCATACATGAGCCATCTTCTAAAGATCTGCCTGTTGCTAGGATAGCTTTGACAGACCCACTTTGGCTATGTCTAGACTGCAGGCTTCTTTCGAAAGAGAAATCCGCTTTTTCGAAAGAGAGCACCCAGCGAGTCTGGATGCTCTCTTTCGAAGACGGCCTCTTTACAAGAGAAACTTTCGAAAGAAGGCGTTCTTCCTCGTGAAATGAGGTTTACCGCCATCGAAAGAAAAGCCGCGTTCTTTCGAAATAATTTAGAAAGAACGCGGCTTGAGTCTGGATGCAGGGGAAGTTTTTTCGGGAAAAGGCTACTTTTCCCAAAAAAAACCCTGAGTCTGGACACGGCTTTTGTGTTTTAGCATGTACGGTCATGGAGAAAGAGAATTCTGGACCAATGTGAAATCTAACTGCATATTACGCATACAGGGATAAACTCATTCCCATGTAGAGAGACTGAATAAGGCCTATGCACCTCTTAAGCCTCATCTAAGACCTGGAAATAGGGCTTATGTTGGACTTAAGCAGTGCAGAGACCTTGTGCACCTTGCTTCAGAGGGGCAGATTTCACCCCAAAAGCTAGCAAACCTGTTAATAATATAGGTCTCATCAACATAGCATGACTGATGAGATCTATTACCTCACAGTTGTGGAGGGGAGGGAGGCTATGAATTTGAAAATATAGGTCTCTGACCATGTTTTATGTAGCAGTCTTACCTTTTCACCTTTAGGACCCGAATCTCCCTTAAGACCAGGTAAGCCGGGTGGACCCTTTAAAGAAAATGAAAGAAGAGGAAACTCAGATTAAAAAGGCAAGTTTCTGTATAAGTAACCCAAACCCACATGGACTATAAAGACGTACCAGTGGGCCTGGAGGACCATCAGGACCTGGAGAGCCGGGGAGCCCTTGTTCACCCTGTAAAACAATGCAATTCACTCAGACTAGGCTTTCATAGCAGAGGTTGTCCAAAGGTGAAAACTTGGATCCAAGCCCCCCAAACTTTCAGGAAGTTCAAATCACTTTACCCATTCATATGTGAACTCTTTGGCTTGGGCCCATCTCTACACACACACACACACACACACACACACACACACACACACACACACACACACACACACACACACACACAGAGTCTGGGTGCAAAGGCTACTGAATCCAGATGTCTTTCTAGCAACTTTATGGAGTTTTGAATCAAGTCTCCTGAAATTAAACTAAACAACAAATCGAAACACAAAGCCAAATCTTTCTTTGCTCCTAAGTGGCAAGGAGAGTTTTGCCTAAGTGCACCAAAGAAACTAAACTTAATAGCACTTTGCCTAAGTCTCTTTTGAAACTGGGATGCAGAATTTTAGAAAATTTACCTTACAGCTTCTTAAACCTTCAATAAAAAATTAAAACCAAACACACACAATTTCCCTTGCCTTGGGAATCATTAAAAAAGGGATAGCTAATAAGACAGAAAATATCTTATTTCCTCTCTATAAATCTATGATATTCTTGCATCTTGAATACTGTGTTCATATGTGGTCACCTCATCTCAAAAAAGATATAATGGAATTGGAAAAGGTTCAGAAAAGGGCAATAAAATTATGAGAGGTATGGAACAGCTGCCATATGAGATCAATACAAATTGGGCTGTGTCTAGATTACATTCCTCTGTCGAAAGAGGGATGTAAATTAGGCACTTCGAAATTGCAAATGAAGCCAGGATTAGAATTTCCCACGCTTCATTTGCATAATCATGTAATGGTGCTCTTTCAAAAACATGCTATTTCAAAAGTAAAACCGCAGTCTAGATGTGGTTCTTTTGAAAAGGGAAGGCTTTTTCGAAAGCTCCCGTAAATCACATTTTTGAAAGAGCACCATTATGTGATTATGCAAATGAAGAGCAGGAAATTCAAATCCCGGCTGTCGAAAGTGGGATATAATCTAGGCATACCCTTGGACTTTTCAGGTTGGAAAAGGATGACTAAGGGAGGATATGATAGAGGACTATAAAATCATGTCGAAAAAGTGGATAAGGAAAAGTTATTTACTTCTTCCCCTAACGAAAGAACTAGGGCTCATCAAATGAAATGAATAGGCAGCAGGTTTAAAACAACAAAAGGAAATATTTCTTCATACAGTACACAGCCATCCTGTGGAACTCCTTGCCAAAGGATGTTGTGAAAGCCAAGACTTTAACAGGGTTCAAAAAGGAGACAGATAAATTCATGAAGGATGGGTCCATCAATGGCTATTAGCCAGGATGGGTAGGAATGGGGTCCCCCTGTTTGTCAGGGCAGCGAATGGGCAGGTAATGGATCACTAGATGATTCTCTGTTCTGTTGATTCCCTCTTGGGTACCCAACATTGGCCATTGCCAAAAGACAAGATACTGGGCTAGAGAGGCCTTTGGTCTGACTCAGTCTGGCTGTCAATATGTTCTTATGACTTCCTTGTCCCCACCATAAGTAAAATAAATAGCAACCCACCCATCCTTCCCACCCTAAAACTCAGCTAAAAGCATGGAAAAGAAGAGATTTGAACTCTATTGGACCACGTGGGGTTGGGGGAGTGAATACTAAGGTCATGGCCCCTCTCCTAAAATCACCCAGGCATCAGACATTGAAGTCTAGGAGTTCTGTGGCCCACCTATAATGGTGCATAGGGTGAAAGGCATCCTTTATGAGAGATGCTTTATTGTAACGCCTGGTCACTATTCCTGTTGAAAAACTTGCTGGGGCTACCTCCAGTTTTGAAATACTCACCACTGGGCCAGGTATTCCTCGAAGACCATCGGGACCAGGTTTCCCCGGAGCTCCCTGGGGACCTACTGGACCTGTCTTCCCAGGAGGTCCCTCCAAACCAGATTCACCCTGATGGCAAGCGACAAAGAGATCCAGTTTGTAATTGGGCCCAAACTAATTGCAGTTCACCAGACCTAGTGTGACAAATGCATCTCCCTCCCTATGTTTCTGTCTTGCAGTGAGGTGCTTTTCCTGCCACACCCCCTTCTCTAGTGCAACACTGAAAGCCAAATCCTGGAGTTGCTTTTCCATGTCCATTGGTTTACTGACCAACGTGAAGAAGCATTGCTTAGGCTGTAAGTACGGCACCTAAGACAATAGTCTAACACTAGGGCTCTAGGGTGCAAGCCATAACTAATATTTACAAGTTTGGGAGCCATCAAAAAGGTATGAATAAAGACATTACCTGGCTAGCACACTACCTTCCACATCCTAATGACTTAACCAAATAAACAATAGGTATTTAAGAATAATTTGCACCTCCTCTATCAGTTTCTTGTAACTTGAACACTCTAATTCATGATTTTCCCTTTTCTTTCCCCCCACATCTCCCATTTATTTTTGGATCTGGATTTTTAATACTCCAGTCATCTGAAGAAGTGGGTTGTATCCATGAAAGCGTATGTTACCATCGATGTGTTTTGTTAGTCTTTAAGGTGCTGCTAGACTATTTGTTGTTTTTCAAGTTTTTCCAGTAATAATAATGTAACTTACAATACCATTTTCAACACCACTCTAAATTGGGCTCAATATGAAGTTAATCATTGTCTGAGAATACCATCGTCTTGTCTATACAGTGACAGTCAGTTCTTTCTACACGTTTGAAGAGGTGCTACATAGCAAGAGCATCATTAACTTTTTTTAAAAACGAATATAGTTGTAGCAAAACGTCTTGTTATAAAAAAAATAGCAAACATAACATAATACTGGAGTGTTGATCTCATTTCAGCAATTTTTCCTCTTAAATAGAGCAGATATTGATTTAATCAACACACATTCATCCCTTACCTTGGCTCCTTTCTCTCCTTGTCTTCCTTCAGGACCCGCTGGGCCGGGAGGACCCTGGTCAAAACATAAAACGGAAGCATTATCGTCTTGGATCAATGCTCGCCTGGAACGACTCGGGTGGTATTTTCAGAGATACTGTAAACAAGGAGGGAAATAACAAGGCGGCTATCTGCCAATGGCCTGAATAAACAACACCCTTATAAATTAGCCCTCTACCTTTTGATAGAAAAATCCTGAAATAGGATGGGGGAGCCAAATGTTTCACCTCATTTTATACTGGTTACCATAGAATTCAATAGGCACCTTTCCATTCCCGTCCATACGCTTTGGATTTAGCTCTAACCATCTTTAAGTGCTCCCAACAAACAATGTTATATCAGTATGTGACTTTTCAGACATTTTGTTCTTAGCTGCAGAAAATAAATGGTTCTGTGTTACTGATTCAGATGATTGGAGTGCTCCCATGTGTATACACAAGGCACTCATGGGCATACATTTCTGGAGGTGCTTCAAGGCCAGATTCCAGTGTCTTGTGGACTACAAGATTAATAAACTCTTTGCTTGCTCCTGTTTGCAAGGTCATTCCACAAACAGACAGGCAAATGCAGATCAAGATATTCCTGTAGCAATTGTTTTCAGTGTATATCATTTTTACAGATCAGTTTGCATACAGGCCAAAACTCCAGCTGGTGTGAACAGGCGCTGTGTCCACTGACTTTTGCCCATTTGCATCTGTGGAGGCTCTGGCCCCAAGTTTGCATACATCAGTGTAGCAATATGGCAAGGTTGTGAGGGGAATGACAAATATTGCCATGCAAAGCAGGTGTTTACCATTTGATCAGAACTTTAAGAACTCTGTTGATTGGACAAAGCCTGCTCAAATTAAAGCATAATGATGATACTTATTTCTGAAGTCTCATTAATATGTACATGAAACCACATTCTAAAAATAATTAACTTACCCTCTTCCCTGGGGGACCTGATGGGCCTGGTTCGCCAGTTGGGCCAGGAGATCCCTAGGTTAAAAGTGGAAGAACATAACTCAGAATTGCCACATGACTTGAAAAAGAAACAGACCACAGGTCTAACATGTAACCTGACTGATCCTACTTTGCAGTAGGATTAAGAATAGGCAGGCAATGCAAGGTCTGCCATCTAATCAGAGAAGCTGGTATCTCACTTGATCCCATCTTATGATGTAAGACCGAAAGAGTGAGGTGAAATATAATAGAAATCTTAAAATGAATAAAAGGAAACACTCAAGCTATATAGGTGGCTGCTGGGATCCAGTTTATCATTGCAGCCGGACTGAGAAGTGTGGAAGAGATTTGCAGAGCAAAAATGGAAGTCAGGAACTTGGCTCCCAGTAGAGGTCAATGGGAGTTGGGTGCATAACTGTTATTTGGCCCTTTCAAAATCTCACCCTGCATTTCCACATTTCTAATGATCTGGGCAAAGATTAGACCTAGGAACCAGGAGTAGCCGAAGGTGAATACTATGCTCCTAATCCCTAACAGATCTTGTATACCAGAATATACTTACTGTCTGACCAGGTTCACCATCATCTCCTTTGTCACCTGAGGGACCATCTTGACCCTAGTGAGGAGGAAAAGGAGTTTTATTTTCACTAAGACCTGCCCTTCTCCAATCCAGGCTGAAAGCAGTTCATCCTGACTGCATCTCTGAGATCATTTCAGAATGGTTGGCACTTACAGCTGGGCCAGGTTCTCCAGGGGGACCCGGGTCGCCAGGAAAACCAACGGGACCCTGGAAAAGAATCAGAATAGCCCCCGTCAGCTGCAGTCTAGCTATCAGAGCACTGTAAAGCAGCCTATCTCTTTTGTTCCAGACACAACTGAAGGAGCTACTGGACACAGCAAAGTGTTGAGCTGTAAAGCTTGGACATTAAAGTTCAGATCCCCCAAACCGAAGGGACTGTGGATCTTGAGTTTTGGACCATGCCACCATACATGGAGACAAGGTGGTATGTTCAGTTTGGGGTCCAAATTTCTGAAAAGTGCAGGAGTGTTACTATACAATGCAGGGATGTAAATACCCATTAAAACAATTAACCAGTTAAATAATATAATTGTAATCGTTTAACCCATTAACTCCTGGCCCACCAGGGCTGCAGTCCCATTGTCTCTGCGGTGTAGGGGTCCTGCCTGCCAGGCACACCAGGGACTGATCCAAGGTGACCCGCCGCGGCCGGGATCCCACTGGCTGACCCACCATGGACTGGGGGCTGTTCCAGACCAACCTGACACAGGCAGGGAGATGTTTCAGGTCTGCCCTGCCAGCCGGCCCTCCGTGGCTGGTTGTCCACTGGCATTTGAAGAAATCCAGTTAACCAGTTACCCAATAAACATTCTGTTAAGCCTAATGCTTACTGGGTAACTGGTTAACCAGTTAACCTTTTACATCCCCCATATAATCTTTGGGTTAGTCCATTGTAAATATGGGGCAAGTCATAAGAACTCTCCCGAAGTCTAAGACTGTTTGGTGCTGGTTTGCTTAATTAAGGATCATCACTGAAGTTTGGATTCAGACATGAAGTGGGAAGAGCCTTGGAAAGGAGGCTGATACCTGGGAGGTTGGAATAACCTGCAGCAGCATCATAGAATATGAAGATAGAATGTGATAAAACTCAACTGTCAGTCTATTTAAAATACCATTTAAAATCACTTTTCGTTGCCCCAGGTCTACGGCCCACGTAAATCAACAGTGTTCTACTGAAGCCAATGGAGCAAGCTGTATTTGTGCCAGCTGAGTTTCTGGCTTCTTGTGTAGAAAATCTTTCACACAGGGAACATCACAAAGCATTTGATGCCTGTACAATGCCTGCGGAATACATTACATGACATCCGGAATGGGGTTCAGACATGAACAGGGCACAGACCTCATATGCACACAAGCAAATTTCATTCTAATGTGGAAAAAGGGCTGACCATTCCAGTATTACCTGAATAGCCTAGAAGCTAGGGCTATTGCTCCTTAAAATCCCAGTGGAATTGGTTTGAACTTGGGCACCACTAGACAATTTGGTTCATTTGACTGGTAAGCCATCTCAACTTCCCTGAGCATCTTTGGAACACGGCTTCCAAATCGAACCCTCCGTTCAACGCTCTTTCTAAACGATGGACTACTTACAGGGCTGCCTTTTGGCCCATCATCACCTGGTGGACCTTTTGGGCCAGGAGGACCAGCTGCGCCAGAGGGGCCTGCTTCTCCCTTTTCCCCTCTTTCTCCTTACTTTTCCTCAACTTTTCTTGACTTCTTTCTTTACTTTTTTCTCGACTTTTTTCTCAAGTCTTTTGCCTACTTTTTCCTTAGAATTTACCATAATTTTCTAACCTTTCTTCTTGACATTTTCATTGACCTTTTTTCTTGACATTATTCTTGACTTTTTCAATTTTTTATGTAGAGAAAATGCTGGTGTTATTTGTTTTATAAGTTCAGTTACACTGCTCAGGATACCTGGAGATTATTTATTATAAATACCTCCTGCTCCAAATAATTAGATGGCCCCTGTGTTACTCTTACAAAGGCCTGGAGAACTTTTATTTCACAGCTGTTCTTTTAGTTAAACATACATAGCACGGCAAGGCCTGCCTTCTGTAAGCTGCAGCAAACTGCAGTCTGTTCTGCCTTCTGCCGTGCATGTCCTTCCTTCCAAAATGGAGGATGAATTCCATCTCTGCATCCTTACCCATTAATGACCATTATTAACATAGCACCCTTCAGAAACCTCAAACTCCAACCCCTTCAGACAAAGCCTGGGGAAAGGCAGGCCCAAAAAACCTTAGGCCAGGGCTACACTAGAGCTGGAAGGTCGGGTTAAGGTACGCAATGCCAGCTACGTGGAATACGTAGCTGGAGTCCGCTTACCTTAAGCTGAGCTTTGCGCCATCTTCACAGAGGGAGGTCAACAGGAGCAAATGCTCTGGTCAGCTTTCCTTACTCCTTGTGACTACGAGGAGTACCGGTGTAGACTGGAGCTGCTCTCAACAACCATTTAGCCGGTCTTAATTAGACCCGCTAAATTGAATGCCAGAATATTGATCTCCAGCATGGCAAGTGAAGATGTGGCCTTAGATTTTCAGAGAGCATTGGGTGGGGGGGAATTTCATTGGCCACTTGCCCATATACATGCTTCACAAAGGCTCTAGAGAGACAGGAAACCCTCTACAAGAAGGGTGGACAAATACCGGCCTGCAGGCTGGATCTGGTTCCTTAGGGTTAGTCCCTAGTGGGCCACTGCCCCTATATTTACCTGCACTTCTGCAGTTATGGGCGACTGTAGTTCCTGTTGGCCATGGATCAACGTTCCCAGCCAAGGAGAGCTGTGGGAAGTGATGTCCTAATCGGCGCCCCCTCCCACAGCTCCCATTGACCAGGAACAGCGATCCACAGCCAATGGGAGCTACAATCGGCAACAGCGGCCTGCCAGGGGCTAACCCTGGTGAACCACCGTGGTTTTATTGCCCACCCCTGTTCTACATGCAGATGCATGATCCTGATTATCTGAATATTTCTACCAAGTCTGACCACATGCCTGGGAAAGTCCTTGTAAAACAAGAATGCCACGTGTCGGTCAAAAAAAGGAAGCCCATGGAGCTTTCAAGACAATTCACACTCGTGGGGTCAAACTCTCCTTAATGGGCAGGACCATCGTATTAGTGACTCTGCCTTGCTATTGCTCTAAAGCACGAATCCTGTTGAATTTCAGTTAAAACCACGATACACATATATTTGAAAAAAATGTACCACTTACCAGGGGACCACCCTCTCCTGGAAGACCAGGCTCACCAGATTCACCAGGTTCACCCTACAGATCAGAACAAGGGGAGAGAGGAGAGATCACATGGTTATATTGATACTGATAGCACCCTGTGGAGGAGGATGTAGAATATTGTCCTTCAATGCACAGCAAGTGTCATTTCCAGCTGGTCAGTAAATAACTAAGCAAACGTCTGGAAAATCTGGGGAAGAGAACTTGTGGTCACCTGCCTGTCCGCCTGGCTCCTAATACACTTAAAATGTAGCGTTTTCCCAACCATCTCTAGTTAAAGTATTGTTTAAAATTAATACTGATCCCCGCTTGTATGGGCCTGTCACGGGTTATATTCTTGCCCGGTCATGGACTTGATTCTGAGAGGTGCTGAATGTCTTCATACCTCCCACGGCCTTCAATGGAAGAAGAGGGTTCTCAACACTTCATAGAAGCACTCTGAACCATTCTGGATTGATCCCCATTATGTTTCTCTGCAGTAAGATCAGCCTGTTCATATTTTTCAGTGTTAGTACGTGTATCAGTTAGTGATGTTCAATATTGATTAGCTGAATAGTTGATTAACCTCATGAATTCTTCTCGGTTACTCGACTATTCTATGGTTCACGGGGGCAGGGCCGGCAGACAGTGCACTCCGGCCCCACTCCCAGGATGCCCATCCTGCTGCTCCATGCGGCTGCCATCTGTATCAGCTCCCCTCGTGGTCCAGCTGCCTGTCACCCCACGCTGCAGCTTCTGCTGCAGCAGGAACAATTTACTGGTGGGGGGGAAACAGGGGAAAATGTGTGTAGTCGATAGCATTAACCTATAAGCTTTTGCTTATTGGTTAATCAACTACACCATGGGTTCCCAAACTGGGGGGCATGAAGAAATTCCAGAGGGGGTGTGAGGCGACCCAGCTCCCCACCCCGCATCAAACCCCCTCCAAGAAAGAGCCCGGTCTGTTTGAACAATTTACTGGTGGGGGGGAAACAGGGGAAAATGTGTGTAGTCGATAGCATTAACCTATAAGCTTTTGCTTATTGGTTAATCAACTACACCATGGGTTCCCAAACTGGGGGGCATGAAGAAATTCCAGAGGGGGTGTGAGGCGACCCAGCTCCCCACCCCGCATCAAACCCCCTCCAAGAAAGAGCCCGGTCTGTTTGTCTGCTCAGGTGTCCGTTGGAACATGAAAACAGGCTGGAGCAGACTTCAAAATGGCCACCTTAAAAAGGGCAATGCCTGATTTTACTGCTATTTTTATTTTTTGGCCCTGGTTAGATCCTTTTTTTTTTCCTCAACAAGTTTTGCTCATGTTTTTTGGGGGGTGGGCATGAGGGTTTCTCAAAAATCAAAAAGGGGGCGTGATGCCGTAAAGTTTGGGAACCACTGAGCTACACTATTCTATCCCTAGGATAGTACATGCATTTTTTTTGAGTGGGAGGCATTTCCCTTTATTTTCTTGACAGCAACAAAAAAAAAGGTCAGACATTTAAAACATTTTTAACAGGCCACGTAATTGAGAAGAAATCAGGTTATAAAATGTCAATGGATGGCTGAATATCAACCTGATTTTTCAGTGGGGAAAAGAATCAAGTGTATTTAGAGCTGATAGAAGCTCCCCAGCAGACAGCTATAAAAGGCATCTTCCGCGTATACAACAAGGAAATACAGCATAATCATACCTGTGCCAGCTTCCTCACAGTGTCCCTATGTCAGAACCCAGACTGCACAGTGATATCCAAAAGTGCATTTCAATTTCCATGACAATGACAGCCTTGGATTCTCTAACAAGACCACCAGCAGTAATGTCTCTTAGTACCCACTGGGATGGCAGTTCTTGCTCTCCTGTCCAGTAGGAACTGGAGAGATTCCCAGGATATGTCTAGACTGCATCCCTCTGTCAACAGAGGGATGCAGATTAGGCAGGTCGACATTGCAAACGAAGCGGGGATTTAAATATCCCGTGCTTAATTTGCATAAAAATGGCCGCCATTTTTGCTGACTCAGCACTTTGTTGGCAAACAGCAGCAGTCTAGAGCGGGATCTGTCGAGAAAGAAAGCCTTTTGCGACAGATCCTGTAAACCTCCTTTCAGTCTAGACATACCCCCATCGATATCAGTCCAGTTTTCACATGGCAAAACTGTCAGTCACGACCAAGCAAGGCTGGATGTGAAGGAGATGTTTGGAACACCTAGTCCATATTCATTACCAATGGACAGAGCTTCCTACGGCCCTTCTTCATTTTAAACAGTTGTGGGTATGTTAATGGAGAACTTGCTGGTTAACAAAGCATCTGGATAACACGAGTACCCCAGCTCAAGTCGCAGGCCAGTTTCCACAGACGTCCACAGCAAGCCTCCCAGTGGATTTCACTGGAAACAGCATGACGCCTTGCTTAGCATGCTTTACCTTCTCTCCTACAGCTCCAGGATTTCCTATTCCACCAGGAGGACCTTGAGGACCATCTGCTCCTGGAGGTCCGGATGGACCTCTGGGCCCAGGGGGACCGGGTGGACCCTACAAGAAAGGAGAGGCATAAGAAATCAGTAGACAATACATTTTTTGTAACAGACGATATTAATGATGAAACTCTTGAGGAATCGCTTACCATTTGTCCGACATCACCTGTTTCTCCCTTCTCGCCAGGTGGTCCAGGCAAACCCTGTGGAGATGTGGGTATACGGGACATTTTTAGTGGGTTACATCACAAATGCAATATGGAGATTCACAACCCCAAATATATCATGCCATTAGAAATTACCTGCAAGCCCACGGGGCCTGGGGGACCAGGGAAACCTCTTGGACCTTCATCACCTTTCTGACCAAAGAGACCTTGTTGTCCTCTCGGACGAGTGGCTTTGTTTAATTATAGATAAATATTATATTTTGGGCCCGTATCCCCATCTTCCATTGCAGTCAATGGCAAAGGCCTCACTTTTCTCAATGGGTGCAAGCTTGGTTAATAATTAATTATTAATAATAGCTAGAATACTCACAGCTGGACCTGGTTGGCCAAGTGGACCTTGTGGGCCGGTAGGACCTGGTGGACCCTGTTCAGAAAAAGATGTTCAATGGGATATTTAGCAATAGGGACTAAAAGACTCTTATTATTGTCAGACATGGCACCACATTACCTTTCGTGAACAAAATCTAAGACTGAGCTCACCAAAATTCTACATTGTTGAAAACAAATACAAGAGAAAGGGCCTAATTCGGCTCTCCCATGCACCAGTGTCAATCGATATGATGTCCATGGAATCACACCGCTGCAATCAAGAACGAGTAGGAAAGGAATCACACCCTTGGATCATTTTTACTATATATTGCAAACCAATTAGGGAACGGAAATCTTTCGGGAAAGCAAGGAACAGAGTTATGTATTATTGTATAATATAATGTGTGGCCAAGAGTTATAACACTACCTCAGAAAACTGAGTCAGTGAAAGATAAAGGTGGCGTGCTAACCACTCAAGGGACAGTGAATGTCAATGCTAGGGCTGTTCTCACAATTTTTCCTCTGCCCCCCCAATATCTATGCCCTACAATATGGTTTTAGCTCTATAATTACTTGTTATTTCTCCAATAATATAAAATAATGCCATTGTATTTTTAACCCATGTGAAGCATCTTTATCTTTCCTGGAAATGTTAACTGGTAGGGGAACATTTTAGAATGATATGAATTGAAAAGAGGGGTTTCTAAATGAATATGTAATTTCAATTAGTGGGGCTACTCCTGTTGTAGTAATGATGGGACTGTTTCCACAATGGAAATAAAGGGGCATTATATGAGATCATTGGAACATATGCCACTTGAAGACTGTCCACTAGATTTTTCTTTTTACTGTCCAGTCATCATCTTTTTTGCCACTTTCTTATTTGGGGCTGGTGACTTTTATAGTCTTATTCCATAATAAGTAACTCTATGCCACACTGTTAGGTCTCTCTGAGGCCATGTTTCCAATTACTGGAGAATCGACACTCTGGTGATTGATCCTTCAGGGTTCAATTTAGAGGGTCTAGTAAAGACCCACTAAATTGAATGTTGAGGGCGCCCCTGTTGGCAGCTGGTACTCCTCGCAGTTGTGAAGCATAAGGGAAGTCAATAGGGGTATTTCTCCCATCGACCTCTCGCTGTGGGGCCTCCCCCAAAAAATTGGTGCAAGGTACTTTGGCTCCAGCTTTGCAACTGTAGCTGCAATTTGTGTATTTTGTATCAATTTTCTCCACTAGCGTAGACCTGGACTGAGATTCACTGATATGATGTCCATGTACTGAACTTTCATCTCCCCTTTTGTCATCCACTATCCCCAGTCATTGCAAGCTCTCAGCACTTTGCCAGACAAGCTCATACCAATATAGGCTAGTCTCCCTCATTACAACCCCAGTTTGTTTCTTCACACTCCTTTGACACCTCAATATCTTCATTTCCATGATGGACAGATTTCCCTCTTTGTAGCTGGCCAAGTCTCTGTTCCATCCATTAAAATGGGTCAAATTACAGTTTTTATATATGCTACTTTTTAACCTTTCCTTCCCCCCCCCATTATAAAGATGTGTGTAAAAAAAGAGGGGATAAATAACAGGAAATTAAAATTAAATACTTAGTTTTATATTTCCATCAAATAATGGAAAAAAATCATCTTACATAGGTCCCACCAGACTGGCTACTGCCAAAGACATTGTCTGGGACAAACGCAGATGCATGCCAAAAGGAACTGAAATACAAACAGGGTTTTTAAAATAAAGTTCCAGGTTACCTGTTCACCTTTGTCACCCTTGCTTCCTTTCTGGCCAGGTTCTCCAATCTCACCCTGTCGGACACAAACGTGTACAAATCAGTCCAGAGCTCAGTGACGATTTGTGTGCATCTGTCTAGTCAAACGACATCTCCCCCCACATTCTAGCATGTTAGCGGCTTGATCCTGGAGAAGCCGACTCACATAGACCGTCCCAGGGGACTTATGGGAAGGGAGGCAGGATCAGGTCTCCAGGGTGCAATTATAGTTTCAAAACCTTTTTTGAAAGCTTTTCTCAGCTGTTGATAGATACCAAAAGTATCATTATGCTAACCGTGTTGGGCGAGAAAGTGAAGGGCATATTTACATACTAACCATCTCTGAATAGCCTGTTGTCCAAAGGGGCTTATTGTAGGTGGAGAGGGAATGTAATTAATTTTGGAAAAGTTAGCAAACTGGAGCAATGCCAAGTAGAATAGGCTCACGGGAGGGTAGCGGATTGAAACTTAGTACATAGCGTTGTTGATGAGGAACAGAATCCAGCCAATTCTGTCTCAGCTCTGCTGACTCTGCAGGGCTAATGGGATGTAAAAAGCAGTAAATAAACGAATGATGTCACTAAGTGGAGCGGATCTGACTCTGAATACACAGAAGGAACAGGTCTGCCAAATGGGAAGGGGCCATTTTGCATGGGGGCTTCTGGGAGTAGATACGCACATAAACGATTTTTCTCACCTTATCCCCGTCTTCTCCTGGTGGGCCAACAGGACCTGCTGGGCCTGGGAGTCCAACCGGACCTTGAATACCATCCCGGCCGGCTGGGCCTTGTGGACCTTTCTCACCCTGGAGGTACCAGGAATAGGCATGTTAAACAGCATTCTCCTCCACCCGCTGATTCTAGCACAAAATCCCATTAACTTCACTGCTTATCACCAACCAACAACCCTTGATTGTATTTGCATGCATAGAATAGAACCGGTATCTGGCAGACATGTTATAGGTCGATAAGGCTCACTGTCATACGCCAGCTGTAATTTCCACCTCAAAAGATAAAGAAAGGAAGAAAAGTGTCTGACTATGAACACAAAGATGTTGCTGCTGTAACAGTTTATCGCGACTCCTCTAGACTGTCTTTTTCTCTCCGTGATGAACAAAACGTATTGAATCAGTTCTCATTCCCAAGAGCCAAATCTTATTGACACTAATGTCTATTCTAATTAATGAAGAGAAAATGCTATCTCTAGATAGCCCAAATAGACCAAATCCCCCTCTTTCTTCACGGCAGGTTGCATTGCACCTCTCTAAACCAGGACTCTCTGGTGTGGCAACCAGCTGGCCCATGGATGTTCCAGGATTAGATTGTCCCTGTATATTGCAGAGTTTGGGGTTGAGCTGCAGGGGCAGGGGTGGGGGTGAGGAGCTGGCATGTATCTCAGCTGGGCTGAGGGGGTGGGGTGGGGGGCAGAGGGAGGCCAGGAAGCCTGGTATGTGACTGAGCTGTGAGGCCCAGTGGGGCAGCAGGTTAGGGGGGTTGGGCTAGTAGTGGGGGAAGGGCAAAAATTACCTCCCCGGGTCTGGCAAAATTCCTCATCAGGCACCAGTCAGGTCCTGAGGGTGCTGGACTAGGGAGGTACAACCTGTACCAGGGCCAATGACTACAGCCCTGTGCAGATGCAAAATTTTGTATCTACATCTCCATCTGCCAAAAATGAGCTGTGGAGACCAGTGGATATATATAGTGGATATGCACAAATTTGCAGGGGCCTAGATACGAAATTGATATCTGCCTCCGTTATCTGCCTCCGTTATCTGATACCCACAGATATGAAGTGGATATCTGCTGATTTGCAGGGCTCTATCAATGCTCTGTTCTCTCACTGAAAATACCTGAAGTGAATAGGCAACCACTGCTGGCCTCCTGCTTAAGTATTTATAGTTTTGCATCCTTGAGACAAAAGTCATCTATTGAATCCGCTGTTGTTCATATGAGCTGAAGAGTTAATGTTCTCCACTTCCCTAGCACAGCATTTAATTGTATCTGAATCCCACTGCAAATGATTAGATGCCAGATAAATTGCCTACTCAGCTCTCCCTTAATACATTATACATCCACTTTTCAGCACAGATGTTCATAAAGCAGTTTCAGAAGGAGATTCTTGCCTCAGGACTAGCTGCTAACGCTTTCAATAAGCCATCAAATGCAGGAATCAGTGGGAAAAAATTACCTTTAATAACACAAATAAATCAACACAAATGTTCTACCTCAGTCTGAAATCTCTAGGGCCTGCATTTGGCCATTTCGCTGTATGTAAGGCTGACTGAGATGGCCATGATGCAAAAGCAATCAGTGATATACATCTGCACAGCAACTCGGGCAAGAAGATGCACAGAGCTCTGCTTTCAAATCATGACACACACACACTACTCTGTTCTCACATGGCACGGCTACACTCCAGGGAAGGTTGACACTGCTGCAGTTGATCTTCTGGGGTTCGATTTAGCAGGTGTAGTATAGACCCGCTAGATCAAACTCAGATGGTGTCCTCGTTGGTGCTGGCTTCCTACTCCTCCCAACCTCCCCAAGTAATGTAGACCAGGCCATAGGGCATGATATATGACATATTCCTGCACAGTGAAAGAGCTGCCAGTTTGCTCAGGCCTGGGGATGCACCAAGTAATATAATGAAGGAGAAAGGCTCTTTCATTTCAGGGATCCATCTATGTACCCACTTTCCCACCCATCTAGCAAGTAGATGGTTATGCTGAGGCCCAATGCCGTAGGGTCTCAGTAAATCCCTATTCCTGAGTGTTTCCCGCTCCACACTGACTCACAGAAAAGTGCAATTTTTGACCCACAACTCAACATTTGACATCAACGTGGGCTATTTTAAACTTTTCATCAGCCACCGTTACTGTGATGTCATATATTTATGACTAGAAAATTTACCAGGCATTGCTTGGGTCCTTAACTGAAATAATTTATATGTTTCTTCATTTAAATCCTAGCTCTGGGGTGAGGCTGGGGATGAAAGGGTCAGTATGTAGGCTACCCCAGGGAGCCCTCTGTCACCTCAGCTGCTTGGGCCCAGAAGAGAAGTGCCTGTCCATGGCTGCTGCAGCTGCAGCTGATACAACCAGGGGAGAAGTGCATGTGGGGCTGGGGGACAGACACACAGACAAGCTCTCTGAAATATCTAGTAGATAGCTGTCCCTTTCTTCACCTCTGTCCTCTTGCTGCCCCCTTGTGGTCATTCTACAGCATAACTGTCCCTGCTAGCAGACCCCCCCCCTTTCTGTTTTATGAGAAACGAATCCCATTCTAAGCACCTCCCATCATCCCGGCACAACCAAAGCCTGACCTTGCTTTAGGTTATGGTGAAAGGAAGCTGCCTACCAACCGTGGAAGTCCTAGCTCTTAACATGTAGGAGCAGTTCTTGAACAAACAGAGTCAGACAGACAGACAAAGATGCATTCTGAACAGCACAAGTCTATGGGTTACAGATCTCATGGCACCACCAGGCATTTCAGGATGACCACTAAACGTACAAGACACATTGCAGGAGAAAGATCTGGCCTACAAGACAATACGGCTAAGGAATTTTAGATTATGCTTGGCCATATTTTTCATAACAAAACCAGCTGTTGCTACTTTCATTACCTACCTAGATCTTTTCATGGCAGATAGGTCCATCCATGGCTATTGGCCAAGATGGTCAGGGAGGTAACCCTATGATCTAGGGGTGTGTCTAGAATACAGGTTTTTTTTTAAAAAAGTGGCCTTTTTTCGAAAAAGCTTTCCCTGCATCTAGACTGCTGCCGCATTCTTTCAAAAGTAAATTGAAAGAATGCGGCAGTTTTTTTGACCGCGGAAAACCTCGTTTTATGAGGAAGAACACCCTTTTTTCGAAAGTGCTCTTTCAAAAAAAGGCGCTGCGTAATGCAAACTGTGCTTCTTCAAAAGAGAGCATCCAGACTGCCTGGGCGCTCTCTTTCGGAAAAGCGGCTTGCTTTTTCGAAAGCACTGGTTGTCGTCTAGACGCTCTTTTTCGAAAGAGGCTTTTTCAAGAGTATCTTTCGAAAAAAATCTCTTTCGAAAGAGGCTTGCAGTCTAGACGTAGTCTATGTGTCCCTAGTCTCTGATTGCCACAAACTGGGACTAGATGACAGAAGATGGCTAACTCAGTGACTGCCTGCTCTTGTTCATTCTCTCAGACACACATGGCATGGACCACTGTCAGAACACAGGCTATTGGGCTACCTGAACCATTGGTTTGATCCAGTGTGACCATTCTTATGTTCTACCTACAACGCCACTATCATAAGGTGACTTATTCAATACTGTGTTACACACAGTTTTGTTTAAGGTGTATTAACCCCATTTAGACCTGTGTTTATCTGAACAAACATTGGCAGTGCTGCACTGTTTTGCAGATTGCAACAATTATTTTCCTCTTTTTTCAGGTTCAGACTCAAAGGGTATGTCTACACTTGCACCCTCTTTCGCGAGAGGGATGCAAATGAAGACATTCGAAATTGCAAATGAAGCCGGGATTTAAATATCTCACGCTTCATTTGCATATTCGCGTTATAGCGCTATTTCAAAATAACAGACGCTGTTAAGACACGGTTATTTTGAGAGAAAACCCTTCTCTCGAAATAACTGGTAAACCTCATTGTATGAGGAATAAGGGTTATTTCGAGAGAAGGGTTTTCTCTCGAAATAACTGCAACTTAACAGCATCTGTTATTTCAAAATAGCGCTATTTCGAAATAGCGCCAAAACGCGAATATGCAAAGGAAGCACGGGATATTTAAATCTCAGCTTCATTTGCAATTTCAAATGTCTTCATTTGCATCCCTCTCTCGAAAACGGGTGCAAATGTAGACATACCCAAATAGAAGAGCTGATTTTTTCCCCTGAAGGTCTTAAAAGAGAAGGAAATGCAAAAACACAAGGAAAAGGGAAGAGGGGGAAAAAAAATCTATATTGAAGATTCAGTGGTTTGATTTGCATCTGCAATGCTGAGAGTGAAACAAACTGTCCAGTAGCCCTTGCTATGACTGCTTTTCCCCAGGAAGAGCTATGCCCTGCCATTTCAACCTTCACCACCTGTTTTGACAATCGAGTTGCTACACTCTCCCTGTCTGCCTGAAGTTTCCGACCTTTGGACCACGTATACCTTCTGTAGAACAGACATTCAACAAGGCGTTGCAAGATCATGTTCCCACTGCAGGGCTCACCTGTAGCATCAGTCTACCATAGCTCAGACAAGCAAAGAGACAGAGAATACTTCTAGTTGCAGTGGGGGAGGCCTCGGTTGGATATAAGGAAAAACTATTTCCCGAGGAGGGTGTGGAAGTGCTGGGATGGGTTCCCTATGGAGGGGGTGGAATCTGCACCCCTAGAGGTTTTTAAATCCCAGCTTAACAAAGCCCTGGCTGGGATGATGTAGTTGGGGTTGGTCCTGCTTTGGGCAGGGGGCTAGACGCAATGACCTCTTCCAGCCCTAGGATTCTGTGAGTCTATGATTCTACATTAGGGATTGGATTTTCAAAAGCAGTTAATGCCAGTGTAGCTTTAAGTCAATGACAAAACCCTCATTGATTCCATCGGAGACCTACTTCTCCAGTCTAATGAAAGCAATTGTTCATGAGGTTTCCCTAATGCAACTTGCTGGGAGGGGAAAGTGTCTGCTTTTCTCTTCCACTTGTGTTTGCCTCGCTTGTTTATTCTTACTCACGGAACAGACAGTGACAGTTCTGTTGCCTCCGCTTACAATGGCAAAATCTGCCCATCCCCATACACGGGGATTTTTATTTGAAGAGCTGGCAAGACTGCGGACAAAAGAAAACACCCTGACTTTCAGCTAGTGTGGAGTTATCCAAGATTCACTATGCACATGCCTCTCCTCCTGTTTGAGATTGAGAAAATAGCAAAAGAACCAGCTGGCACTTACTACATCTTCCAGAATACAACCTTAGAGAAGTCCCTCCTTGGGAAGCAGTGCAATAGGTTGGTTAGATTTCTTTTTGTGGAACTGCCACAGATCAAAACATCTTTGCTGCCTTCAGGAAAGCTAAATGCACCTGGGGTTTTAGGAGATGGGCTAAGTGGCTCAGAGAAAATGCCAAGAACAAAGAATCAGAACATTTGCCCCAATTGTGCCTCCCACGGAGTTATTGTGCCTAGACACACAGACATACATACACAGAGAGGCATATTTCACCCGCTCCAGTTAGCATGGGTACAATACTTACAGGGGCACCCTTTTCACCAGCGGGGCCCGGAGGTCCTTGGGGCCCAGGTCTTCCTGGTAAACCAATTGGGCCAGCTGCGCCAGCTGGACCTCTCTCCCCAGGAGAACCCTGTTGGTGTGAAAGGAGAATGGAACAGTCGTTAGACATCACAAGTATGAAAAGAGAAGAGGGAGAAAAAATTAAAACAATTAGGATTTAGAAAATGTATTAAGTACAGAATTCAGCAGGTAAAAGAGAGAGCACGATGGGGTAACTGCCACGTAATGATCCTGCGTTCTAAGCCAGAGGGATCCTGAATATTTTTATTTTAATTAAAACCACTGGAATGGCGGGTTTCTTTCTCGGGACGGCATGGGAGTTCAGTTGCTGGGGGCATATTATCAGCGCTTGAAACGAGAGCACAAGTCACTGCTAAGGTAATAGAGCAATACATTTTAAGGATGAATAGTTTCTTCTGAAAAGGGAATCTCAGCTGGGACAGCTTTCAATGGGCAAAAATCTGGCTTTGCTTAAGCTGGTGACTTAGGCCTGGTCTACAATAAACATCAGATCAGCCTAGCTACCTAGATAAAGTGCTAGATAAATTCACGGAAGTTAGGTCCGTCAATGTCTGTTGGCCAGGATGGGTAGAAATGGCGTCCCTTGTCTCTGTTTGTCAGAGGCTGGAAATGGAAGACAGGGGAAAGATCACTTGATAGTTCCCTATTCTGTTCAATCCCTCTTTGGCACCTGGCATTGGCCACTGTCGGAAAACAGGACACTGGGCTAGATGGACCTTGATTTGACCCAGTAGAGCCATTATGTTTTTATGTACCTTGCTCAGGGCTGTGAAAAATACCACGCCCTGTGCAACTGTTAGGTTGACTTAACTTTTATTGTAGATGTAAGAATTCTTCCATTGATCTAGCACCGGCTTCTTGGAGAGGTGGATTATCTACATTAATGGATAAAGCCCTTCCTTCAATGTCAGAAGTATCTACAGCACTGCTGTGACAGGGCTGCAGTGCCATCGCTGCACCCGCAGTCGATAACATGTAGACACACCTTCAGAAACTAAAGGCTCAATCTTCATGTTGCCAATGCCCCGAGCCATCTCATCTCTTCAGTACACCAAGCATGGTCAACAGAATTTTGGGTAGCGATCGAGCTCTTACAGATGTGTCTTGTAAATTAAAGTGCTACACAAACATTTAGCACTAAAAGGAAAGATGGGTAACTTCTCATGAACAGCGACTAAGCCTCGGTAGTTACTTATTAGTCTTCTAATGTGTTAGGTAGTGCCAATAAATGACGAAGAGCCAATACTTACTGCTGGGCCTGGTGGACCAGGGGGACCTTCATTGCCTTTCAGCCCAAGAGATCCCTGCAACCAAAACGAGAGAAGAAACAGTGTTATTCAGTACTCTATCTTGCATCACATAATGCTATTTATTGCATCCCCCCAGAGGAGCTTTTACTTACAACTGGGCCAGGGAGACCTCTTTCTCCAGGGAAACCTCTTAAGCCAGGAGGTCCATCTTTTCCTGGAAGACCGGCAGGTCCTGGGTCACCCTGCATTGGGAAAGTTCAGTCGGTTAGAATCTTTGGAATCGGTAAAAGCTCGGCTCCTTTTGCCAGGTTCTAATAATACACAAACACTGAGCTTTCAACTCTGGTCTCATCTCTTCATCCGTCCAGCCGAGGTCAACCCTACAGGATCAACCGATCAGCAGCATGTCACACTCACTTCTTGCTAAACATGAACAGCACTTAAAAACTTGCAACAGAAGCCAGAGATGGGGTAGAGCTGCAGAGCTCTGAGACAGGGTTGGATGGGGAATCTGTATTTTGAAGGCCTGTGTTCTTCAAGGGTCGGGCATGTTCAGATCTCTAGTTCTGGCTCAGCTCGTTTTCAAGAGAGGTGTGAATGGTGACATTCGGATCTAGGTTCATCTTCAGCCACTCTGAAGTTCAGAGGCGATGGAGGGCAGTTCAGTTTGGGGTTTCTGGCTTGGCGTCCTCCCAACTCCGTGTAAACAGAAACGTCACGCTAGATGGTTTGCTCACAATGGGGGATGCTCTCAGATCCAATAAAGCACTGACAATGCAAATCTCAGGCCTTTTAGCTTGAACTCCCTAGTCTGCACCTGCAGTCAATTGCTAGAGATGCATGCATTTCACCAGTCTCAGTGGAAGATAGGACTCATCCCTGACAAAACGAAAGCAGTGCCTCTGAAAATTAACCTCTCTGTGTTGCCCCATCAGTCCCCCAAGAGTCATTCCTTACTCAGAAGGAACACACGGGCCAGATTCTAACCATGATTGGCCCTCTCCTCCCTTCCCGTGGCCTGAACATCGTGCTCCAATGCACACCTGAGCACTGAATGAACTATGAAGTCAGATCAAATGCTGCGACAACGTACCTTGGTTCCTTCCTTTCCAGCCAGGCCAGGTAGACCCTGCTCACCTGGTGGACCCGGTGGACCTGGATGCCCGCGCTCACCCATTGGGCCCGTCTCTCCGGTAGGACCCTAAGAGACGCGCGAGAGATATGGAGGGGAAAGTTTAATACCAGAGAGACAAAGAACAAGCAAAGTCTGTAGACCAGTGAAGGTCATTGACAGCTCTCCCCACCCACCCCTTTGATGGGCAGCCCTTTTCTGCCCACTTGCTAATACCCACCCCCAACAGAGGCACGAGGCCTGGGCATGCTGCTAAGCTGACTGGCACAGAATACTGCCCAAGAGAGAGGCCAGTTTCCAGCAACCTCACTGACTCTTAGGACCATCCCCGTTAAATCAGGCAACTCTCACTCTTGACTGAAAGACTGCGCACGCCGGGGCCCAAGCACGGCTTAGCTGTGAAAACATCGACCCCACTTCAGACTCTTCTACAGGTTGGACCTCTTAAAACCAGGACTCTGGTCTGGCAACATCTGTGGCATTGGTCCAGCAGGATTGCGGATATTTCTGGACCAGAGAGTCCCGGCAGCTATTGGGTGGCAGGAGGGCTTGTGCCTGGGGACGGGAGTCCAGCCAGGGCTGGCAGCAGTGGGGCCAGCAGCCTGGGAGGAGCCAATAGGAGTGAAGCTGGTTGCTAGGAGCACGGTTGGGGTGTGTAGCCTGAACAGAGTGGGTGGGAATGGGGTAGGCAGCCCAGCTGGGCCCAGGAGCTAGAAGTGGAGCTGGTCCTGGGATCCAGAAGCCGGTGCCAGAAGCAGAACCAGGCACGGGGGCTGGATTTGACCTCATCTTGTCCGGCAAATTCTTTCATTTGGGACTGGTCGGGTCCTGAGGGTGCTGGACCAGGGAGGGCTGACCTGATCAGCAATGTTTTAGGGGGAGGCCAGAACCGTGAGCCCATAGCTTTCTGCGAATAGAAACAATTTCCTTGGTGTTCTTCAATAAAAACAGACAAACCGACAGTACAAACAGACGAACGGCTGCCACTTGTCGTTCAGTAAAGCAGCAGTTCCATTCTGCAGGCAAAGAACATCGAAACAAGGGCACTAAAAGGTCACCCTATTCATTCAGGCCACCTGTACCATCCCAAACTGAAAACCTTCCTATCAAATGCATGGAGCATTCCTCTTGGAGACAATATTAACTAAGTCAGAGGGGTCACACCAGAGCCATGTCTTATTGCTTCGGTACCGATGTTGGAAATGAAACGTCAGGGAGACTCACACATCTCCCACGTGGCTTTGCTCAGCTCTAGTATTTTTATTGACCATAATGGACAGCTCTCTCTCCATGGCTTGTTTCGCTTACATACGTATCTTGCACTGTTGTCCAAATAAGGAAATTGTGTTCTATCTAAACTCCCGCTTGACATTTCAACTGGATACAGAATTTTCTTCACTTCAGGGTCCTAACAGCGTCACTGCCGACTGTTAACAAGACACGCAGTTTTACTTCACAGGAGACTTCCTTCCAGTGAGGGATACAACTGCACCTCTGTATAGCCTGTTAGGTGTGTTAGGACCCTTTGGAGTGAAAGTAGTTGTATAAACGGGAGACGTTGTTATTATACTGAAGCATTTACTGGAGAGTTTCCAAAGTGAACTGTAACAAGCCATGTCTTTCTTGTACTAGGCCTCAATAATTGATTAACTTTGTGACTACATGAGATCGTTATTGATCACCTGAGCACTATACATGGAGACTAATGGTGATGAACATGGTGTAACCAGCGACATAGAACAGAACACGACAGAGTAATTATCCTGGAATTTCTGTCATAGGGGCAATTCTGATGTGAAAAAAATGTTGGTTGGTGGTAATTAGTCTTTTCATTGTGGTATTTGATAACATACGAACCATACCAAACCATGTATTTACTTTGAATTTTACCATGTAATTGTAAGGGGATTTTATGTCTCTTGATAAATTGCGGAGTGGCACTTAATTGAATGATAAACACTAATGCTGCGTTTCTGCATATTACATTGATTCTACTTAGTAGAGCCAAATGTAATTGGCACCCACTCTGCTTTATGGTTTAGAAGATGGAGATAATCATGTATCTGCCCTGTAATATTGCCATTAATCTGAAAGGACATGTTAATTACCAGGTAATTAAATAGCAAGCACTTCCCCGGTCAGCAAAGCAAGGAGAATTTGTATATGCTCTGTCCCCATTCATTCTAAAACTGCAGCAATAAAATGACACAATAGAGACTGATCCTCATAGATGTATTTAAGTAGGTGGCTACTCTGACTTCACTAGGGCTATATGGCTTTTGCAGACTCTGGCAACATTTAAGAATACATTGAATAGTGATATATTGCCTTAGGATGACATTTCACCGCAATATTGCATTACCATGAAATGTACCAGTGTAGCCATATACTATGTAGCCATTCAATGTTGCTTTTAACGTTTGGTTACTGAAACACTTATAACTTGGCTCCAGGCAAAGGTCTAATATAACTGGAGGAGCAATGCCAAGTGGGCCAAATTTCAGTTAAGTGATCGTACCTTAATTGTGATCGTACCCTAATTTTTAAGCCAGTGTAATTCGACTGATTTCCTTAGCATTACCCGATTTACACCATTCTTACGGAGATCAGAGCCAGGACCTTGACTCTCAGTGAGACGGTGGCAAATCTCTAGCTGTTTCACTGAGCAGGAGAGCACAATGACTTCCCATGAAGATTTTTCTAAAAGATCTGCCCAGAGAGATGCCTTGACAGCTTGGCCCATGAGTGGATGTTTCAGGTATTGAGAACACAAATCCAAAAAGAGTGCTTTGGCTGTTCACAACTGTCTCTGGCCAGGAACAGGCCAAATACCTATTGCTGTTCCATAGCTCCCTTTAAAACTCTCAGTCTTTGTCTGTATGTTCTACTCATCGTCCTAGAGGCTAAGCTAAACTAGAGTGTCGCAAGTCCAATATGAATTGTCAGGCCCACTGACGGAGGTGGAGGAGGGGGGGGAAATGGGGCACCTAATCTGGAGCCCAGCAGTTCAAAAGGACCTGGAGTTCCCAGCTGTTGCTGCCATGACTGCAGCAGCGATGGTGGCCAGAGTCCTGGGCCCTTTAAATTATCCTGGGCAGTGCTGGAGGGATGGTGGGAGGCTAGCCTCCAGCTCCGCCCCTTCTGCCTGAGGCCCCACCCCTTCCAGAAATGCAGGGCTGCACCCCACCTTACCCAGGCACCAAGCAATTCTGTCGGCCTCCTTATGGTTTGCCAGCAAGTCCGAGCAAGGGAGGACCGCCATAAAGGCTGCATTTACATCTTACCTGCGGGCCTACAACACCTGGAGGGCCTGGAGGACCTGTCTTGCCTTGGAAACCCTGTTTTAAAAAGAAAAATGAATCACGATTAGCCATAAAACATAGTAATACATGAATGACGGCATGCCACTTGACAGGACCAAGCCCAGCATGCTCTGACCAAACTTACTAGCAACTATAAAAAATGGTACTCCTCAAAAGACAAATAAAAGGAGGAAATCAAATGGGAGAGGGGATAGATCCTTCTGTTTATTTACAGAGGCAAAAACAAAACAAAGAACTGATTATCAAAACCTTCCCACGGAGGCTGTGATTCCTAAGGGAAATACTGGGAAAGGACCTAGATGTTTATCTAGCAGACTATCAATGGGCATAAATCACAGCAAAGGTTTTAATTGCAATGGCGCTATGTTAATTACCCCATCTGAGGATCTGGCCATATATACTGGGACAAGGTCAGGCCAGAGGCCTACAGGAGAGGGATAGAAGGGAAACAGATTAGCCCTTGATTACATAAGTCCCTGTTCCTAGGGTAGACTAACAAGGACTGATCCAGAACCAGCAGAAACCTGCTCGAATCAATCAGAGCAATCAGGCCAATTAAAACACCTGGAATCAGACGAAAGAGAGTCAGATTAATCAGAACGCCTAGGAACCAATTGAGAACCAGTTGAGACTAGTTTAAAAAGATTTCTCTTCTTTCTGTTAGCTTAGTGTGAGGAAGGCATTGATGAGAGAAACTGTTGTTGAGCTTCTGGAAGAGAAAGTGT